TCAGGTATTGCTTCGTTCGGTTACGTGTTGCTATAAACCAAATAGGCCAAACCAAAATGAGCCAAATGAATAAAACCAAACCAAACCAAATAAAATCAAATAATCACAAATCAAATGGAGCCAAATAAGACCAAATGAATAGATAGAATGAATAGATGAATAACACCATTGCAGTCTCTGTAAAATATATAAAAAAAAAAAAAAAAATAGAATAGATAGATAGAATAGATAAGATAGATAGATAGATAGAATAGATAGGAATGAATAGATAGATAGGAATAGATAGATAGATTGGAATGAATGAATGAATGAATGAATAGAATGAATAGATCAAGAAGATATATGAATGAATGAATGAATAGACCAGATAAGATTAGATAGATAAGAATGAAATAATAGATAAAGTAAGAATAGATAGATAGATAGACCAAAAAGTAGACCAGATGAATGTAGTAGAATGAATGAATGAATAGAATAGATAGACCAGACCAGACCAGATAGATAGATGTGAATGAATGAATATGAATGAATAAAACAAAAAAAAAAAAAAAAAAAAAAAAAAAAAAGATAGATAGATAGATAGATAGATAAGATAGATAGATAGATAGGAATAGATAGATAGAATGAATAAATGAATAGATAGATAGATAGATAGATAGATAGATAGATAGATAGACCAGATAGATAGATAGATAGAATGAATTAGAATGGAATGAATAGACCAAGATGAGTGGAATAGAATGAATAGACCAAGACCAAAATGAACCAGAATGAGCTGAATAGGCCAAACCAGACCAGACCAAGATCAGGCCAAATAGATAAATAAATAAGAATAAAATCAAACCAGTAAAACTAGACCAAAACCAGACCAAATGAATAGAGCCAGAGCCAAAATAGGCCAAATAGACCAACCAAACCAAACCAAACCAAACCAAACCAAACCAAACCAAACCAAACCAAACCAAACCAAACCAAATCAAACCAAACCACGCTACCACACCCCGCTCCACACCACGCTACCACACCCCGCTCCACACCACGCTACCACACCCCGCTCCACACCACGCTACCACACCCCGCTCCACACCACGCTACCACACCCCGCTCCACACCACGCTACCACACCCAGCTCCACACCACGCTACCACACCCCGCTCCCCACCACGCTACCACACCCCGCTCCACACCACGCTCCCACACCCCGCTCCACACCACGCTACCACACCCCGTCCACAACCACGCTACACACCACGCTCCACACCAACGCTACCCACCCCGCTCCACATCCACGCTACACACCCGCCTCCACACACGCTACACACCCCGCTCCACACCACGCTACCACAACCCCGCTTCCACACAACGCTAACCACACCGCCGCCTCCACACCAGACGCTTACACAACCCGCTGCCACACCACGCTAACCAACACCCCGCTTCCACACCGACGCTACACACCCCGCTCCACACCACGCTAACACACCCCGCTCTCCACACACGCTAACCAAACCGCTCCACACCACGCTAACACACCCCGCTCCAACACCACGCTACCACAACCCGCTCCACACCACGCTACCACACCCCGCCCCACACCACGCTACCACACCCAGCTCCACACCACGCTACCACACCTCCGCTCCAAACCACGCTACCACACCCCGCTCCACACCACGCTACCACACCCCGCTCCACACCACGCAACCACACCCCGCTCCACACAACGCTACCACACCCCGCTCCACACCACGCTAACACACCCCGCTCCAGCCCACGCTACCACACCCCGCTCCACACAACGCTACCACACCCCGCTCCACACCACGCTACCACACCCCGCTCCCCACCACGCTACCACACCCCGCTCCACACCACGCTACCACACCCCGCTCCACACAACGCTACCACACCCCGCTCCACACCACCCTACCACACCCCGCTCCACACCACGCTACCACACCCAGCTCCACACCACGCTACCCCACCCCGCTCCACACCACGCTACCACACCCCGCTCCACACCACCCTACCACACCCCGCTCCACACCACGCAACCACACCCCGCTCCACACAACGCTACCACACCCCGCTCCACACCACGCTACCACACCCCGCTCCACACCACGCTACCACGCCCCGCTCCACACCACGCTACCACACCCAGCTCCACACCACGCTACCCCACCCCGCTCCACACCACCCTACCACACCCCGCTCCACACCACGCTACAACACCCTGCTCCACACACGCTACACACCCGCTCCACACACGCTACACACCCGCTCCACACCAACCGCTACCACAACCCGCTCCACACCACGCTTCCACACCCCGCTCCACACCACGCTACCACACCCAGCTCCACACCACGCTACCACACCCCGCTCCAACCACGTACCACACTCCCGCTCACCACCACGCTAACCAACCCGCTCCACACCACGCTTCCACACCCCGCTCCACACAACGCTACCACACCCCGCTTCCACCCACACGCTACCACACCCCCGCTCCACAGCCCACGCTACCACACGCGCTCACACACGCTAACTACCACACTCCCCGCTCCACACCACGCTACCACACCCCGCTCCACACCACGCTACCAAACAACACTACAGGTATACACTTTGATATCAACTTACATAGTTACTTTTCAAATAGTCAACTTACTTGTACACTTTTTCTGAAAAATTTCACTTTTTCTGTAAATTTACATTTTTTTCTGAAAAATTGCAACTTTTTATGAAAAATTACACTTTTTTTGAAAAATTTCACTTTTTTCTGTAGATTTACATTTTTTTCTGAAAAATTGCAACTTTTTATGAAAAATTACACTTTTTTTGAAAAATTCCACTTTTTCTGTAAATTTACATTTTTTTCTGAAAAATTGCAACTTTTTATGAAAAATTACACTTTTCTTGAAAATTTACAATTTTTTTGAAAAATTTCACTTTTTCTCAAAATTTACACTTTTTCTGTAAATTTGCATTTTTTTCTGAAAAATTGCAACTTTTTATGAAAAATTACACTTTTCTTGAAAATTTATACTTTTTTTGAAAAATTTCACTTTTTCTGAAAATTTACACTTTTTCTGTAAATTTACACTTTTTCTGAAGAATTTCACTTTTTCTGAAAAATTACACTATATCTAAAAATTTACACTCTTCAATCCAATTTTTTCTTAAATATAAAAATGTAAAAAAAAATAATTTTCAGAAAAAGTATAATTTTTCAAAAATAATTAATTTATAAAAAAACGTAATTTTACAGAAAAAGTAAAATTTTTCAAAAAAAGTACAAATTTACAGAAAAAATGTAAATTTTCAGAAAATGTGTAAACTTTCAGGAAATGTGAATTTTTTCATAAAAATTGCAATTTTTCAGAAATAGTGTAAATTTACAGAAACAGTGTAAATTTTCAGAAAAAGTGTAATTTTTCAAAAAATTTGTAAATTTTCAGAAAAATGTAGTTTTTCAGAGAATTTATAAATTTTCAGAGAAAGTGTAATTTTTCAAAATTTTTCTCAAAATTGTAACTAATTAATTAATAGTAATTTAATTACTTAATTTTTATTAGTTTGTAAATTTTGAGTAAACAGGATCTCATATAAAGATTTTGCTTGAGCCTTTAAAAGTTCAGAAATCACTGGAAGATTATGTGATACAAAACAATTCGTACAGTTTTTTTCTCTTCTGGGATTTTCACCCGATTTCAAAGTTTTTCTTTAAATACTTTTTATATTACCAGCATAACTCATCGTTAAACTTAAGATATTCACTTTATTGTTTTTTTACACGCGGTAAACTTAGCGATCACTTTTTTGCGAGGTAATTAACACTCATTCAATTTTCTAAACTTTTTATAATATCGCTCTTTTCTTATCGAACAACGTCAACACTTTTTATTTCATTTTTTTTTCATTTTTTCCTTTGGTACTGATGGGCTTTTTTCAAACACTGTATGTATAACAACTACTTCCGCCCAATCTTTACTAATTTGGGTTGTATTTACATTCCCAATAACGAAACAAAAACAAAAACAAATATTAAGTGGATTAGAAACGGCGTTTATACAAAAAGTATATTTCTAGGCTCTGGTTCTATACCTACATACATACCTGTATGTTCACTAAACTTTAAATTTGGGTCAGGCGTTAGTGCTTCGGAGCTTCTATAATACTTAAATAATTTAAAAATTTTGTTAGATATCCGACGCAGTAGGCCCCTGTATGCAAATAACAAATGTTTGATAAGTAAACGAGTCGACTGGGCGTACCATTATGTACGGGTTTTTGCAAGTCCTGGAGCATCAGCTTCTTCGTAGAATTATATTTAAGCGATTCCAAATTGCGGAAATTACATCTACAGGTCTAAAACAAGATTTAAAAAACACCTTTTCAAACAACTGTTATTTAAAACATGAATTTTCCAATTTTTCATGTACTACAAACGCAATTAGAGCTAATACTCTTTATTGGTCTCGGCTTTCCATAAAATGAAAAATATACGGAATTCTATATAGATATTCTATATAATATAATATTATATATTCGTTGATAAATATTTCGGAAAACAAAAAATATTTTTTTTGTAGATTTTCTCAAAAAAACTCGAGATCTGTTAGAGATATCGAAAAACGGTTTGCTGCAATCAATTACATAAAATGTACTACATTTTGTATGTGATCTGTGGTACTACATAAAAAGAACATTCAGTAACGATCTGAAACATCTCGATTTTTAACAAAATTTCCATGGATTTGCATGAATTTTTTTCGATAAGTTTAATGAACGTAAAAAGTGGTAGCTTTGCATAGATATAAGAAAGATATATTATTGTGTCTAACGACCTTTTTTCATTCAAAAATACGTTGTGGTTTATATCTTGTTTATATCCAAGGAATATTGGCACGTTGTATTGGATTATTATACAATAGCATAAAATAGAGAAACAAATTAGCTCTAGGGTTAAAAATTTACTAGGAATAAAACAAAATCATACTCATTTCTAATATTTAATTTATTAAAGTGTCTGCAAATAGTTTTCCTATAGTAATAAAAAATAGTTTCCGTTATTTTATAGTAATTGCTCACTATTTTTGTTTGTACGCAAATACAAAAATTATAATTTGTTATGATGCAGTTCAAGAGAGGTCCATCTGGTCAAATTAGGTCAGAACTAAAGTGTCCAGAACGTGGCAGGGTTATATCGTCCAGAATCAGAATGTGCAGGCACAGAAAATAACACAAAACATTTATTTCTGTTGCTGTATATCTGTTTAGATCATAACATTACACACTTTGTAACAAAATTGTTGTTTATGATTAGAATATTTACATTAATCTTCAGGTAAAATATAGGTTAATCATAGGTAAAACAAAAGAATATTCTCTTCATATATATAAAAGAAACGTGAGCAAATTTAAAACAATGTGAGCAAATTATAAACAAATAGTTATAATGGTAATATGGTTTTTATCACATACAACGTGTTTCAAAAAAATTTAACGTAAAAATCACGACTAATTTTTCATATCAACTTAAGTCCGAGTATGCTTTGTTTCGTAGCTACAGGGGGTTAGTCTTCAGTTTTTTTTTGATTTTTTATAATTTCCTTCCAAGTGCTTTTAGCAATTCGAATGAAATTTGGAGGGTTAAAGTGTCGACATATTAACCATGGACGTGCACATGTGTTATCACTGGAATATTTTTCAAAAATTAACGTGTACGCCACTGACTTTGATATTTTCTGTTAGCAAAATTGTGTAAATCGTTTAATGCCGATTCAAAGTTGTCTCTGTACATTCTGTCGATTTCGGTCTCCTTGATGAGATAAACGCAATTTTATTAATTTGCCTTAATCCAAGTTTAATAACAACCTTTAAAATTTAAGATCATTAACTAGCCAACGTGTTAAATAAGTACCCATCGATTCCTCATCAAAAAATATGAAAAAAAGATAGCACTGAACATCAGTGTTATAAATTAGCTTAAGTAAATAATTTATTAATTTAATTTTTATTTTAAGTGTATTAATTGTCATTAATAAAATTGCGTTTATCTCATCAAGAAGATCGAAATCGTCAAAATATCTAAATACAACTTTTAATAGGCATTAAAATGTCCATACAATTTTGCTAATAAGAGAAAAGTCAGTAGCGCACGCATTTTATAGAAAATATTGCAGCGATAACCCATAAGCACTTCCTGGTAAATCTATCGGTACTTTTATAGTATTAAATTATGTAGCACATAAAAATTTTTTGCTTGTTCTAAAATGGTTAATCCCGTTTATACTTTTCCAACCTTCCATACCGTTTTTTTTTAAATAAATCTGATTTTTATGTCAGGAATCTCCCCACGAGAGATGGCACATATTTTTTGAAACACCCTGTATAGTGAACATTATGAACATTATAAGGTCACCATTGTAACATTTACATCTTTTCAACTAGAATTTTAAAATAGTGATAATCTTCATTTGTATATGGTTTCAACAGATTGTAAGGAATAAGAATTCCATCGCCATCTTCAGAATTTTATAACAATTTAAAATATATTTAACCAATATCAACACATTTAAACTATATCTAATAACAATAAAAATAAATAGCAAACCAAGACATGAGATTTTGCTACAGGTGTTCGACATATCGACCGTCTTCTGTTATGGACAGACGGGGCAGTTTTTGAACATTTCTCGCGGAATTCAACTCAGTGGGGCTGAAAGATACCCTCTCATAACTGCTAAGTATTTCTAATTTTTGTCTAGATTATACGGAAGAATAGTTAGTTTTCGTCTATCTCCTATAGAAAAGGATGTTTCCATTTAAAAGCGTCGAATTTGACCCACCCCTTTTTTTACATTTTTACATTTTTACATTTTTACATTTTTACATTTTTACATTTTTACATTTTTACATTTTTACATTTTTACATTTTTACATTTTTACATTTTTACATTTTTACATTTTTACATTTTTACATTTTTACATTTTAACATTTTTACATTTTTACATTTTTACATTTTTACATTTTTACATTTTTACATTTTTACATTTTTACATTTTTACATTTTTACATTTTTACATTTTTACATTTTTACATTTTTACATTTTTACATTTTTACATTTTTACATTTTTACATTTTTACATTTTTTACGATTCTGCTAAGCTAAACGGCCGCAGCGCGGCGTATCGGCGTAACGACCTTGAATAAATTTCCAGCAATTCTGTTGTCTGAAAAATTAATCTGTCAAAAATTTCAGCTAATCGATAAGTCGTTATGCCGATAGCAACCGATAGGCCGGACGTTTGGACTGTTCGGCTTTTTCTAGGATGATGTGGATGCACCCTTAGATAAAAAATAAATGCTTCTCTGTTAAAAGTTAGATCTGTGGCCATGTGGGTCAAATGCATATACGTCAAATTTTGCGTCAAATGTATGGAGTCTAAAAGGAGGAGGCGAATCGAACGCAAAAATTATGGGCCCAGTTTTTGAGATCTAAATGAAGTTCGAAAATCGCCGTTAGGGGCGCTTGTGATGATTGGGATACTAGAAATACACAGCTTCTTATGGCAAGAATAACTATTTTGTTATAAATTATAGAGCCAAGTTAATATTTGGGCATATTTTTACCAGAGTTAGCTTTTAGAAACGTGGTTTTTCTAATTGAGCAATGTGCGTGGCTAAAATTGTGAATACAAAACCTTAAATTTGAGTTTGAAAAGTTAGTTAGGTTATATTAGATGCCGGTTTAATATATCCTTTTCCTAAGTTGATATTATAAAAATGTTTTATTATGTGGTTCTTTTTAGTGCATACACGACCGAAGAAACATATAAGCTGCTAAAATAAATCTTCCCTAGAACTGTTGTACAAAAAAGATAGAAGTTCCAGCAACAAATTTATCACCAGTTCAACCTTTGATTTGATGTAAACAGTAATTGTTTCTTGATGAGAAATGCGAATGAAATAGTTTATGGTGTGATTGTGTTAGTGTTTTATTAATAGTTTTGTTGATGCAGTTTAAAGGTTCATAGTTTTTCATTAAAACATTTGAAATTGACATGTTTACATGCAGTTTAGTGTGATACCATTTTAATAAACATTAAAATCTTTCGAACTAGTAGTGGTTTTATGGCGATTGACAGATTGAATAACGAAAATTAAGAGTATTTTATCAGGAATAACTTAATCATAAATGGAAACTGAAGACGAACGTTACCATTGCACCCTTTGATCGGTGTTATCTATTCCATAACTTTTTATAGCTGAAACTAGAGAGTAGGTATATTGAGCTGAAACGTTTCCTGTGTTCAATAGCGTTTTTTCTAGCGTTGAATTGTAAGTTTTAATGTCATTAGCAAAGTTTTGCAAATTGTCACTGTTTCGTAGACAATTAAATTCAAGATATATTATATTCAATGTCACCTAATAATTGTAAAGGTTTTTCTATTGATATTCACTTTATTAATATAAGGTAGGTTTGTAAATAAAATATTAATGAATAAATAATGTACTCAGTTTATTTCAAAAGCACAAAAATACAGAGTTGTGAATATGTATATACGCTGACTTATTTCATCATATAAATATTTATTTAGCAATATTAATACATTACAACTTTTGTTTCTATTAACTAATTCCACTAAATTTAATAAATAAAATATACAATATATAAATTTAATATACAATTTAGCACTTAGATATTAAATATCTATATGTACTATGCCAAAAAATAAAACAGGAACATCATATTATATCAAGAACACAAAAAATTACAATTTAAAAAAAATGCATTCTAAAAAAATACCTAGCTACAATATACCTACATATTAATTTAAAGAGCTTATTCATATTCATAAAAACTATTCTAAATGGTTTATATACACAATCAAAAGTATCAACCACAATACAATAATTTTCAAATTATTTCTTATTATTCCTCAATGAAAAAGCGTCTTGCGACGGCTAGTCAAAAATCTAAATAATTTTTATAATAAATTTACAATCTGACATATGAAACTATTTTTCAAATTTGTGAACATAGTAACTCTACTGTCTGTAACATCAACTGGCACATTAGTAATATCACGAAGAATTTCATTCTCATTCTCAAAGTTAGGTTCTGAAGTTTGATTTTCAACATGATTAATAGGCAGACCTTTTACTTTTTTTGAATTAGAAACTTTTTCAGTTGCTTCACTCCTTACACATGGTGGTTTCCTCTTTCTTTTATTACTAGAGAAATATGAAGGCAGGTTAGGAAAAATTCTTGGAATTGAACCCTCCTTTAATAATGGTCTACCCCGCTCAATTCTACTGATAGTTCCGTCAGTTAATTTGATCTCATAATGAGTCAAAATATCTTCATCTAGAAAATGTAGTTCACAAACAGCATCTTTGCTGCTAAGTGTCTTGTCTGATCTGGGTATCGCCTTTTGCCACTGCTGTAGCAAGCTAGGATCCTAATAAAAGATATATAATTGTTAAATAAAATAAAAAAAAAACATTTTTCACTATTAAAGCTGTTATTTTGAGAATACGATCTTGAAGTATAAATATTTAATATTCACTTTCAATAGCACTGTTCAAACTGTGGTTAATATAGGTACATGTCAACAGGTAATTTTAGCACCTAGTAAGTATTAAATTATTTTAATTTTATAACAAGGCCTCCTAGGTTATGTTATACACATGTTGATTTTAGGCTATATTTCCTATTAATTTGGTTTATAATTTAATCTGTACACTGACAGTATATAATTTTAATGTTTTTCTTAACATCTATCCATAATTTTTATAAATAAATAGTCATACTACTTACATTAGGAGCTTTGAAAAGGCTTGGGTTTCTTTCACCCCGTTCTTTATTTGCCTTGTTTTTATTGGGATTCCCACTTGTACAGCCAGGTACAAAGCAATTTCTACCACGACTCATTGTTGTACTGCTAAAAATTCAGTAAATTAACTATAAATTTTATTAAAAACACAATTAAATCGTATACTAACAATGAAAATGTAGTATCCCAGTCGATCGCAGTGCCTCTGCTGTCAAACCGAGGAAGCTGCTTAAAAGTGGGGACAGAAATTTCAAATTTGCCCATTGCCGATAAATCTCCTTTTTTAAGCCCTCCATAGTCAAATGCACGTCAAAGTCAAATGTAAACACAATGTAAATAAGAATTATTAAAACATAAATTATTATAAAAAATATCGATATTATCAATAGGAGAACGCGTTGGAATCTAACTATTTCATATTTTGGTTTGAACTTATGGATACTGTTTTTCTCGTTCGAGGAACATTGAGGTATAATTAATTGGTTGTAACAAAAAGGCATATTTATTATAGATTAACCTCACTTTATTATTAGATATCAGACATAAGTTTAGATCCTAATTTATAATCGGTTTATTTACATTTTAATAAATATGTAATGTTTATATTATAATATAACTGATATTTTTATAAATTACAGCAGTAATATGATTAAATCGTTAACAAGTTCTACTACATAGCATAGAATGTACCTGCAGATAACTAAATGTACCTGCAGGTTCCATTCTTTATATATGTGAAAGCCTAATTATTTATGTTAATATACTGACATGTGGGCAATGGTAATAAAATGCTTTGTTAAATTATTAATGATTAATTATAGATTAATTTATATCTGTAACTAATTTTTTGTAGTTTTTACTCTTTATTTAATTTTAATTCCTTGATAATGACGAAATGAATTGCAAGATCATACATATCAAACAGCTTTCTTTGAGACCAGTATAAGAAAATAGATTAGAGAAACATGCAGTCTTAGTAAAGTAGCAGTAATTGCTGCAGTCAAAATTATGATGGACATGGTACTGTATGTTTCACTCACAGAACATTTGTTTGAATAATGTAGTCTGGATATTGAAAAGGCTTTAGAAAAACTACACTATTTGAATCGAATCTATTATTAAAACATGAAAGTCTTGATAAATAAATTATTTCTTTTTCCATATTTGTAGCTAGATTTACTGGTTGCCTATTTTGTATAATGCACAGAACTTCGAATAAGTGGTATATAATAGTATATTATAAATGGCAATAAAATCATCGCATTTTGAATAACTATTTTATATATTTTTTTTCTAACATTTTATAAAGGCTCAATCCTCCTCATCTTCTAAGAAATTAAATCTTTTTTTAATAGGGCTCTCATCTTCTTCCATGGAATCCTCATCCTTTTCATATTTGCTGAAATTGAAAGATTTTATAGCTTAAGGTACCTATAACATATTGTAAATAAGAAATAATTTGTTACTACTGTATTGGTTTGCACAATATGATAATCTTCTAATTTAAAAACTCTATTCTTAAATGCACTATCTAGATTTACTTAGTAATCGAAAAGGTAATTTTCCAGGTGATTATAATTATTTCAGAAATAAAAGATGTCTAATATTGATACTAACAATGTATAACAAAATACGGCTTCTATAGAAACTAAATAAAATATCTATCTAATATATAATCTCACAGCTTTTTGTAGTGGAAGAATTGGGTTGCTAGACTTAGCATTTGTGACAATCTATGTTTTTGATGGGATTACAATGACGCCTTTCACACACTTCATGTGAAAATTTAGAAAAATGGAATTATGAAGATTTCAAAAACATTGAAAACTTGCTTTATTATATATTTTTTGAATCATCCAAGTGAAATAAAATGTATCAAACCCTAAAGGAAATGCTAGACGAGGTGTAACGCGGACGAAGTCGCGGGAAATAACTAGTGTAATTTTAAATTTTGATCTAGGTATTTTATCGCTACTATAACATATTTCATTGTATAAACTAACATTCAAAATGAAATATTTATTAAGCAAACTACATTATATTTAATTTATTTTAGGAGTAGAAAACATATTTTCCATAGCATACATGATTTATTGAAAATTGTTTGCCTTCTTTGTTAATGCACAAAATATAATTCAACATCCTAAAAAATTATACAATTTTATTTTTTATTATACATAGTATAAAAACACAGTTTAAAGAAAACTGTGGTGTAAATCACTGACCTACAAAAACAGTGGTGTGATATACGGTGGTAAAATACGTAAAGTATTATTTTTTAAGTAGAGAAATTAATAGATAAATACAAAGAATAACATTATTCTTTAGTAGATATTCATACAGGGTGTTTCAAAAAACATCTGGCCATGTCTCGTGGGGAGATTCCTCGCGTAAAAATAAGACTAGATTTTTTGTTTTGAATCAACCCTATTTACGTAAAGCTTTAATAAAAAACAAGAATAAGTGCACCATTCCGAGGTACTTATAGTTTATAAGAACCTATATTATCTATTCTATAAGAATTGTCATTCCTCCGAAAGATGTTTTACCCCACCCAGCACCCCTATTCGCTCCCGGGTCCCGTAAACTTCTGAACTGAAAAATGTATGAAAAACAAAGTGCACAAAATGACATTGACACATTTCCGCAGGAATTTTTTTGTATTTCTTTGCTCGTAAAGGCTCGTATAAAACAAATATAAGTTCATTTTTCATGTAACTGATTTCGGTTAGAAATTTTTGTATAATTGTACTCTTAACGCCTTCTAGAACGCATACAAAAAGTCATTTTTTATATAACAGATTTTAGCTAAACGAAAGTTGAGCCGGCACAGGTTTTTTGGAACACTGTATTGTATAGGTAGAAATTGATGGAAAGCAGTTTTTTCCTACCTGTATTTTCTTTCATTCTTGTGCAGTCTCATAATACTGACGTCGCCGTTAAATTGCTTCTTTTTCTGTTTTTCGTGTTGAAATTTAATACTGTATTTTATTTTTCTTTTGGGTTTTGTTAACTCTTCGCTGGAACTACTTTCATCATTATCACTATCCACCGTACAATCTACATTTTTGTCGTTTTCGTTTCTACAAAATTCATCTTCGTTTCTATTTGCTTTTGCATGTTTTTCATTTTCACTTTTTCTTCTTAACACCTTAACTTTTCCATGCTCTATTCTGCCGATAAATCGTTTTTGATTTGGTTCGTCATTATTGCTATGTTTTACTATTTGATCTTCACTGCGCAATTTTTTCTTCGTCGGACTTTTTTCATTATTTGTCAAATTATTTTCATCGTTATTCTTCCACCTCTTGTCTCCACGCACCGAGTTTAATATTACCAAAGATATGATAATTCCGTACAATATAGTAATTCTAAAGAATATAAGGCAGAGTAATTATGACATATTTATATAGCTATAACCTATGGTTCTACTTACTTCATCATTTATTAATTAGATATCCACTTGATAACGAGTCATATTAAACATACAGAAACAAATGTAAATTTTAATAACTATCATATTTGTCCTGCGAATCTCTTAAGTTAACTGATTTGTGCCAGAGATATTTTTAGACAGATTTCTTTATATTTAACTTGAGAACGTTAAGCGAAGGTTTACTATTCTCCAGGAAAACTCAAAATAAACTAAAAGGTGTTTGAAAGTGAGATAATTAGATTTTTTCGGATTTTAAACGTTAAACAGTGGCGTTACTGTTTCAAGTCTCAACCACGTTTACTATCAGTTTTATTTCCAACCCGAAATGTATACATTCGTATTATAAACACAATAACTTATATTTGTCGTTTATAAAATTAAGTAATTACTAATTTCTATGATTATCGTGTTTTATTTCTTATGCTTGCTACGATACTGAGAATAAACTCTGTTATGTCCAGACGCGACGTCAGGACACTATTTTTAACTTTTTTGGCAATATATTCAGTGACGATCCTTCGGCATATTTGTTAAAACCAATTGAATATCGGAAACTGATCAATTCGAATTGTATCGATTAAATACCGATACAATACAAAATTTAAATCAAATAAATATTAGAAATGATTGATTTTTACGACGCTGAACGAAATGAAAATAGGCCTACCGAAAATAAAGGAAAGAGGTTCACAGCCACAGCTCTAAAAATATATACGTTCCAGGCTTGGATCTTGCCTGATTCCTCGGAAACCCGTTAGTGTTACGAGCGCGTTAAACGAACGATTCGTGGTTGAGATTAGACTATATTGTGTAAGTTACCAAAATTCATACTTAATGTCCTTTTACTCTACATATTCCTTTCAATAACAATACCCCAATAACGAATTGTTAAAATCTAATACGAGGCGTATTTGGAATGTGACGCTGTGTAGTTTATTTTAATCAACAAGTATTAAACTTATTTTTTGATTAACTGTTTTTACTTCATAGCCGTTTTAGTTATTACTATGATAATTACAACGTGTTAGTTTATAATAACCATTTTCCTAGTCGAATTTCAATGTTTTTAGTTGTTTTCTTTTTGGTGTTTAAACCTTCTGTTTATTTTTCTTAGATATACGGCGATTTATTATACAAATACCTTCAAAATAAATAAAGTAATACTCTAGTTAACACAACTTGTATTGATTTATTTGGATTTTTTAAATTTATTTTAATCGATCAGTTGCAAGTCTAATTTTAGCGAGTTTTATTGTTATCCTTTCCAAGTATAAAATTTTTTGGCTTCGGTCGAACTCGGCTGCGCATTTATTTCCTTTAATTTCTAAATATATCGATACACAAAGCAAACCCAATGAACTTCGAAATATATTTCATTTGGTAAAGAAACATCGTCCAAAACAGACAAAAAATTACTTTTATTTTTTTTTTCAGACATTATGGGCGGTGTGGGTAGCGCTCATCGTCCGTGCGAAGACGACATTTGGTGGACAAACGGACAAACAAAAGTGGAACCCGCCGTAGAAAAATGTTCTTCTCAAAACGCCACGACCGATATCAATAAACATTTCGAGGCACATCGAGAAATTGACCAAGATTTTAAATACGACATGGAGCGAAGGCACGTAAAACGAAGAGAAATTATCGCAGCGAAAAAGAAGGAGTTCGACGACTTGCGACAGGAAGTCGCTCGGCTCAAACAAGAAAACGAATTGCTCAAACTGAATCCTCAAAACGAGGCGTACGTCAAAATGAAAGAGGATTTGGACCGATTCCAGAACCAGAATCGAATACTGAAAAGCGAACTAAAAGACAAGCTGGAAGAGTTGCAGAAAGTTGCCAGTCTCCTGGAGAAGAACAGGGAGTTGAAAATTAGTATCGCCGAAATGCAGGACGAGTTACAAAAACTGAACGCGGTGGTGGTGGAGTTCGAGAAAGAAAGGGAAGAGTATAAAGCCCACGTTGTCGCGCTGAAGGATGTAATAAATGTATCGAAGAAGATGTTATTAATTAGGGAGTCGCAATTAAAAGAGGTCAGTAGCCAACGAAATTTTATCATAACTATAGTGGTTTATTATTAGTCAATACATGTCATTATTGACAAAAAATAAACATGTTGAGTGGATAAGTGGTAGTATAAGTAGGTTATTTGACTGAAATGAATTGGGAACTTTTTATATTTTTAAATTAGTCACAAATTTTTCTTGCGAAAAAATTATGACAAAACAGTTTCTGTTGAACTTTTGGCACAAAAACATTTCAAATTTATGATTTCAGTCTAATAACTATTTAGCCAACATGTTTAATTTATATCAATGATGGCAGGTATTGATAATTTCGATTCAATTTTAATTTTTACCAAGAGACCTTTTTTACATAAAAGACATCGTATTTTTTTATAAGCTTTTATTTAACTTACTTTGTATTGTATGTAACTATCTGTGTATGTATGTATGTTTGTTCGGGGCAAATCTTGTAAGCTAAATTAGAACCGCTTCCTTTTATTGTAGGAAATTGAAATTTGGCATGTAGGTTCAGTCCCGATGACAATACATTTTGTGGGTATAAACATATCAAAAAAAAATATATGGGCGGCCATCTTGAAAAAATTACAATTTAATGACATGTCAAAATTTCAAAGTCAACCGATTTTGATAAAAATCGATATATATGATGGCCATGGGCTAAAATGAAAAAAAAAAGTTTTTGAGCTGTCAAATTTGACAGCTGTCAAAAAAATTTCGAAGTTGTTCGATTTTCATAAAAATTGATATATAGGATGGCCATGGACTCAAATGATAGAAAAAAATTTTGATCTGTCAAACTTGACAGCTCTCAAAAAAATTCCAAAGTTCTCCGATTTTGATAAAAATCGATATATAGGATGGCCATAGGCTAAAATAAAAGAAAAAATATTTGAGCTGTCAAATTTGAAAGCTGTCAAAAAAATTACAAATTTGTCCGATTTTGATAAAAATCGATATATTGGATGCCCCCTACCTCATTAGTCGGGTTTCATTTTATTTGTCTCACATTTGAACTGTCAAATTTGACAGCTGTCGTTTTTTTAAGTTCTCCTTTTTTAATGAAAATCGATATACATACATATTATTAGGATGCCCATAGGAAGTTATTTAAGAAAAAAAATTGAGTTTAAGTGTGTGGCACTGAGAAACCAGCATAACTAAAAAGTAGAAAATACATTTTAGAAAAAAACTTTTTTAAAAACAAGCTTTAATATAAATACTTACACTAAAAAGAAAAAATAAACTTTTCCTTTAAAACTTTTATTACGAACTTATAACGTCATTACACAATTTTATATTATATAAAAGCTTGTCGCGAGATTTTTCTACATCGATAAACAAGTAAATTAACTAAAACCTGTCTCTACCTTGTCTCATTTTCAAATTTTATGTTATGATAGACCATTAGACCAGGAATTACAAGTTGTCGTATCAGATTTTTATGTGTGCAACTGTAGACTCAAATCTCAAAGCTTTTATATAATATAAAATTGTGTAATGACGTTATAAGTTCATAATAAAAGTTTTAAAGAAAAAGTTTATTTTTTTCTTTTTAGTGTATTTAACTAAAAGCCTGTTTTTAAAAGTTTTTTTTCTAAAATTTATTACTTTTTTAGGTACGGACGAAAAGTTATTACTCTTCAAACCAATTAAAAAAATATGTAGGTGGCGCCCTCTACAAATAGGAGTCATATTGACATCAAAATCAAATTTCTCATGTCAAAAAACTCCCAGATAACAATTTTCATCCAAATGTTGACGTTACTTCAAAAATTATTTGGAAAAAATCCTTAAAAAATCGAAATAAAAATGAAACTTCTACACCCTCTATCTCCGAAACTAAGCATTTTAGGACACATTTATAAGAACTTTTTTTACTTATTTTTATCTGCAGAATATTTTGCCAAAGTTTCCGGAATACAGTTTGGACCACCCTGTATATTTAGCTGTTTTAAAGAATAATATCTTTTCGTCCTTTTTTGAAGAGCAATAACTTTTTTAACTTATTTTTATCTGCAGCATAATATGCTTCGGAAGTTTCCCGACTACAATTCACACCATCCTGTATATGGTGTATCTAGAGTGTAGCGTGTATGCCGGTCATATCATAGTCTTTTATTATTATAATTACGACAAAATGTATTTTTTCTCTACGGGATTAATGTTCAGATGTAAACGAGAGATATTTTTGCAGCTAAAACAAAAAGTGGAAAGTATCGAGCAATCGCTGTCCGCAAAAGAAATGAACATCCTCTCTCAAGATCTGAGACAGGAATACGAAAGGCAGTTGGCTAGTATTCGGAACCTGCGAACGCTCTACGAGGACAGACAAAGGTCCGACCACAAGGAAAAAGAAGAACTGAAAAAATTATTAGAAGATTGCAAGAAAGAGTTTGAAGCCGAACAGAATAAAAGCCGGTAAATTGTAAAACCTTAAAAAATCTTATTAAAAACTATATTTATTTCTTTTTTAGAGAATTCGAGGAGCGTATAGTCGAGCTGGAAGAATTAAATTCCAAAAATTACGACGAAATTAAGAGTCTCGAATCGAACTTGGGTTTGTCTAAAGCCGAATGCCGACAGTACCAAGCGGAATTGACGGTTATAAACCAGCTGTTTTCCGAAATATTACTAGGATTCAATAGTTCTCAGGTATCGCTATCTACTCGTTCAATTTGTCAGACAAATATTACAAGTTTTTTTTTAGGATATCGATTTAGATAAACTCGTTAAACATTTGGAACAGCACCACGAACTACTACAAAATATTGTCTTTAGCGAACTCTCTTCGGAGTCTTCTTCGGCCTTGCCCAAGATTCTTCTAGATCTGGTGAACGAGGTCAACTCGCGAGACGAGAAATCCATTGAGTTCGAAAACTCGCCGGCAAAACTGGAAACTATAGTAGAAGAGTCGGGTAAATTTTGTTGATATGTGTATACTTTCCCATTTGACTGCTTACAAATACTTTTTAGAAAGTCAAACTGGCACCGACCAGATAAACAGTGCCGAAGAAATTGTCGAACTTTTACCGAAAGTTTGGCGAGTTCTCATCGAACTATTGAGCCATCAGAAAGCTCCGACCAACATCCTGTCCTTTGAAATGTCCTCCGGCGAAGATCTTTGCTACAAAACTGTACAAACACCTAAAGGTAAGTCTCATTTTGCGAATTTTACCACTTTTATAAACAGTAAATAACCAATTTTTAGGTCCCAGTTTAGTCCTAAGCGTTAGTCAAACATTTATCAGACTGAAGGACCTGATTCTAGAAAAAAAGTCGTTGGAAAAGGAAACGGGGCACTTGAAACAGCTAAACACGCATTTGGAGAACAGACTTCAAGACCAGGAGAAGAGACTACAGTCAGTTAGTTGCGAGCTAGACAAAACTTGGCATGTGGTTAGTGTATTTTTTTCTGTTCTGTTATAATAGGCCAGTCAAATAAGATTTACTAGAGAAAACACACTTGGAAAAAAGTGTTGGATAGCTAATTATTAGCTGCCCATACACGGAAAGCCTTCAGGTCGGGCCTTTCACGCGAAAAAACATAGTTTTGTGTAAAAGGCAAAATCCGCGGACTTTGCCTTTGCCTTTTTTTATTATAGTATTTTTTGTGAAAGGCCCTTCTTTCCGTGTGTGGGCATATATTGATTTGATCGGTCCATTTGACGTGGAGGAGAAAGTTCCCAGGCTTGCAAGGTTTCTCCACCGCCGCTAGACCTTTTACCATATTTTGAGCCTCCTAAGTCCAGCGGCGGCTGAGCAACCGCGCAAATCTAGGAGACTTCTCCTCCACGTCAAATGGACAGATCAAATTAATAATTAGCTTTCCAACACTTTTTTCCAAGCGACCCCTATTATTAGATTGGCCTATAAATAAAGTTTTCGACTGTTTCCAATACAGTTTCCGACTGTTTCCAATAATTATTTCCGTTAGGTCGGTAAGCTGCAAAAAGAACATCAACTGCTGCACACGCAAGAGAAAATACTGCGCTACGAGCTGGCTCAGAAACGCAAATTGCTAAACACGCTCAAGGAGGAACTGGAATATTCGAGGGAAAAGTGGCAACAGGCCAGGGAGAAAAACTCCAAGACGGAGAAACAGTGGAAACAGCTGCGGGTGGAGTTCGCCTCGAGAAAGAACCCCGTCACCAGCGACGTGTACAGTAATAGCCAAGAGAGCGGGTACAGCGACGAGCGGTGCACCTCGAGCGACGACAGATGCATTTCCAGCGACGACGAACCGGGCTACGAGACCGACATATCCACCGACACGTCGCCAAAACCCGTTCAGAATACAAAGAGACCGACCGTCAATGTAGTGGCCGAGGACGGGGCGTTACGTGTGGAAGACGTTTCGGCAGAGCGCTTGGTTTCCTCAGTTATAGAGGAAGCGATCGCGGCTATCGTTAAGAGCGACGGGCAAAGTAATCCTCAGAATAGCCATCATGACCACAGTAATTGTACAGAAGCAGGAGCGTCTTCTGTCGGAAGGAATGAATCGCTAGAAACAAATATTATGGAGGGGAGTGATACAGTATCACAAAATATCGACAATCTTGAAAACCCTTCTTCAAGTGGAGACGCGACTACCAACTCTTCTGAAGCGGAAACTAAATCAAATACCGATCCAGACACATAGTATAGGTCATTAGAAAATAATTATATCGTTGTATATTTTTGTATGTCAGTGTTAACGTACCGTACCTGTGTTGATATTTATTTAATTAAATTGTTTACGAACTTTGTATTTAATTGTATATTTAATAAAAATCTAAACTTAAACTACGTTCTTCCTATTTTCTATAACGTGGGCTCATATTATTTTTTATACAGGGTGTTTCAAAAAACATGTGCCATCTCTAGTGGGGAGATTCCTCACGTAAAATTAACAGATATTTTTCATATCAACATGGGTCCGATTTTGAGTCATGAGTGATGACACATGTGTTTTTGATATAAATCTCGTAGAAGGTAAAAAAGAAAACCAGATATTTCAAATTTAATTATTTAATTTTTCTAACCGTTTATATGCCAACAGAACTAAAGCTTTTTACATAAATAACGATAAATAATTATTGATCCTTAACACATATTTTATTTAGTCTGTTATAGATCTTTGGATAGTCGCACTGCAACATTGAAAATTTATGAAAAATTCCCGTGACCTATTCAATGTTTACAAACGAACAGGTGGTTTAGGTTAAAATAACATTTTTACATTAGAAATAAAAACAATAAAACTGCACTAACAAAAATCACCTAATTTATTAAGACTTAGAATGAGCCGTGCGAACGTAGTTCCTGTAGTTTTTCGCAAGAGGGCATTTTTATTCTCTGGGCGTTGTCGAACAGATCCCGGTCGCCAAAGTTCCTGGCCTTCCATATCATCGAATCACCTGCAACACGATATTCCGATGGTGAAACAATATCAAAAACATTAACCATCTCTTTCACCTGGCTATTTAAAAACTCTTCTTAAAATCTACTTTATTTTTTTTTAATTTAGAGTTATTTCTCGATATTTTTAAAAAATCCAAGTTCTACACATTGAATCAATCTATATATTGAAACAATTTGGCAAAGACATTAAGCATGCAAGAAAATTTAAGTAGGATGGTGTAAATAATAAAATAAAAACATTTACGGTAGCTTTTCTCCCGGTAGCACTGGTGCCTCAAGTTGGAAACGTATTCCTCTTCCACGGACAGCTCCAGCCTTTTTACCGACCCCTGGTATTCCGTGTGGAAGTTTTCCTTAACGTAGTAAGGAATCTGTAAGTTTTGGGTGCGTCTCATTATCGGGTACTTCCTAGAGAAAGATTTAAAAGTCGTTATTTTTTCCTTATATACAGGGTGGTCCGAATTGTATTCGGGAAACTTCGGCAGCATATTCTGAACATAAAGTTTTTGTCCTAAAATGCTTCGTTTCGGAGATACAGGGTGTAGAGGTTTCATTTTTATTTCGGTTTTTTTTCCAAATAATTCCTGAACCATAGTCGATGTTTGTATAAAAATTGGTGTCTGGGTGTTTTCTGACATGAGAAATGCGATTTCGAAGTTACTATTACTCCTACTTGTAGGGGGCGCCACCCATATGTGTTTTAACTGATTTAAAGAGTAATAACTTCTCGACCGTACCTGTGTGAAACTACTGAGTAAGAAAAATATAAATTTCCGTCATTTTTACGTAAAAAAGGTCCCTAGGTAAAAATCGCTATGAGCATCCGTTTTCAAGATATTTAGAACGCAGATAGTCAATAAGTCAATACATGTCATTATTGCCAAAAAATAAATATGTTAATATAAAAATTTTAGATTAATTTAAAAAAATAAAAAGTTCCCAAATTTATCATATCATTCAAATAACTATAAGTACCGTATGATCGAAAAAACAAACGGCGTCCAGTTGGCTTGGAAATGACGATCGATAACATTCCCCATATAATTTTACATATAAAATGATAGCAATCTTCATTTCATAGCCATCGCTGACGCCGTTTTTTTACTCTTAGCGATTTTTACCTAGAGACATTTTTTACGTAAAAAATGATAGAAATATATATTTTGATACTCATTAGATTTTATACAGGTACGGACGAGAAGTTGTTACCCTTCAAACCAGTTTGAAAAATATGTAGGTGGCGCCCTCAACAAGTAGGAGACATATTGACGTCAAAATCAAATTTCTCACGTCAAAAAATACCCAGGCACCAATTTTCATCCAAATATCGACATTAGTTCAGAACTTATTTTGAAAAAAACGAAATATAAATGAAATTTCAACACCCTGTATCTCCGGACCGAAACACTTTAGAACATTTATATTAACACAAACTTTTTTACTTATTTTTATCTGCAGAATATACTGACGAAGTTTCCCGAATACATTCGGACCACCCTGTATATGAGAAAACTAAAATTTCTTACGAGCTAACTGACAAACTGTAAGCCGGATCTGATATGAAGAAACTCGAAACCATCGACAGCAATATCGCAATTAGTATCGGTAATAATTGCACAAAGGTTGACATGCCACTGTTTTGTTGCTAAAATATCACAGCCATAAAAAAAGGATTAAGAAAAAATTCGAAATTTACTTCTCTACGATGATGTTCCTGCTGGCTGCCAGTCGTCTGTCTGTGCCAACGGCCGTTTCGGCGCACATAAACGTTCGAACCTCCAAATCCAGTTCCAAAAAACATGTTAAATAATTCCTCTGGATTGACCTCGTTATCAAATCCTCTGTTATAATTGTACGAATGATTTCTAGCTGGCCTGTCCTCTTCATTACCGTAGAGATCATACTGTTTACGTTTTTCTACGTCTGTAAGCACTGCAACGGCATTTCCTACAAATTAAAGTAGTATTTAGTTACAATTTTATTCTATATTTCTTTATCGTACCAACAGCCTTGAAGGCCTCATCGGCACCTGGAGCTCTATTCTTATCGGGATGCAACTGTAAGGCAATTTTTCTATAAGATTTCTTAATTTCAGTATCGGTAGCATCCTTGCTTATACATAAAATTTCATAATAATCCTTACAGGTCCTGGAATAACATAGAATTTTGCAAGTTGTATTTGATAGCTAGTTAAATAATACCTTATTCGTTTGACTAATGCTAATTGTTCTGAAGTGTATTCGGCTCTCTTTGGCGATTGATCGGCTTTTGGAGTTACTTTTCTTTTTCTTGGTTGTTCAGAATCAACGGTGTCTGGCATTATTGACACTTGCAACAGCAGATCTAAACAAAATATTTTTGAAACAGAAACAGAAAAACAATCTAATCTTGAATGCTAGATGTCAATGAGATATCTAAATCTAATGTAAATAATTGTGAATAAATTAAACGTTTAATATTTATTTAAAGTTAAAAAGGAACTAGTTTAAAATAAATAAAAAATACCTTTAGCCCGTTGCGTCGGAAATAATCTTTCCGCTTTATGCAGGAATTTTTCAGCTTTTTCTTTGCATTTTTCCTTGATATATTTTTCAGCAACGTCAATACATCGTAAAGCCTCGTCTTTATTACTATCCATTATAAAAATCAATACAAAAAGGCCTAAAATTGTATACAATTTTATAAACTTTACGATCTAAATCAAATTATCTACAAATCTACAAAATAATGATTATTTTGGCTGATTAAACTCACCCTATCTTACGTTTTCAATTTTCATTAGTGCTTTAATAGATGACAAGTGACACTGACAACCGACTTTTTTTCATACCAAATCAGCTGATCATTTCTTCCAACTTCCAACTTTTTGCATCAACCAACTGAATACAAAAATTAATTTATTAAGAGATTGAAATATAGGTATATATTTATTAAATAATAAGTATCTATCTACGATTTGGTTTATTATTTCATTACAATGAAACAATGCAATCAAAGTAAATCTAATTTGTAGGCCAATTAATTTAATTAAAATAGGTCAAAAATAAAATATGAACATTTTTGAATGCACTATCTCTACTTTTTCTATTGGCAATGATTAAAGTGGTTTAAACTATTAGAGAATTAATAATAATTCTATATTTAAATCTATTGTATTAATAAAAATAGTTATTGAAATTTTTAAAAATACAAAAAATAAGGGGTCTCTGGTTGAACAGAGATGGCAGCAACGTAACTTTCATTCATTATCAAAAAATGTACCCTGTAATCTAGGCAACACTCAACATATTGCAGTATGTTTGGTTATCCTAACGAAATAACTTAATAGGACCGTATTTTGATATTTTAAAATATTTATTGTAGTTAGTTTATTATATATTTTCACAAGTGGTATTTAATCAAATGATATTAATTCTATCTCTTACATTACTTGTGCTAATTTTTACAACATATAAATTAAATAAAATTAGGATTGTGTTTGTTTCTAAAATGGATAATTCTGAAACGCGAATGTACCGTTATAATCCGACTCTGGAGGAGCGTCCTTTGAAACTTCAAGGCGATTGATAGAAAATGACATCCGTGTTTGCAGTAATTTCGTGAATGGTTGTTTACTCGCCTAGCACAATCAATCAAAAATAATATTAAACTCAATAATGTAAATGTATATAGGTTTCGTTTTTTGTGGTGTTCGGTAATGTGATTCCGTTGCAAAAGTGACCGAACCCGTACTCCAAACGCACATCAAAATGTCAGGCAGGAATCGTCCCATTCAACACAAAAATTTATCAACGATATTTTCGAAACTGCAAGGTGCTTTTACCGACGTAATGACCCATCCAAAATACGCCACGGATAAACGAACTCTAGACAAGACTTGGAAACTAATGGATAGAGTGGTGAAGTATTGTCAGCAGCAAAAGATGAACTTGAAAAACTCGCCCCCCTTCATTCTGGATATTTTACCGGATACGTATCAAAGATTAAGGCTTATTTATTCGAAATACGAGGATAACATGTCCGCTTTACACAACATTGAATATTTTAACGTGTTTATTATTAATTTGATGCGAAAGTGCAAGCAAGCCATCAAACTTTTCAAAGAAGGCAAAGACAAAATGTTTGACGAAAACTCACATTATAGGCGAAATTTAACCAAGTTAAGTTTAGTGTTTAGTCATATGTTAAGTGAATTAAAGGCACTGTTCGCTACCGGTTTCTTTGGGGGTGATCAGTTCCGAATAACAAAGTCCGATGCTGCTGAATTCTGGAAAACCAACTTTGGCAATAGGTAAGTGATGAAACGATTAATTGCCGTACTTCTATTTTTAAAGGACGATTTTTATTATAATTATCAAAAAAATACAATAATAATAAAAAAAGTGAAAAATATGGATAATATAAAGATTTTACCGAGGTTTTTTTTATAATGCAATAGATAACTTTAAGTACCTCTTAATGCATGCACCTCATTGTTGCTATCAAAATTACCTATATATATAACTTCTTATCTAATAATAGATTGGATAAGAGTTGAACCATTATTTAAACGTATGTATAACATGTTTTGTGTTATTTAATGTTATTGTTTACCCAGTTATAATTTTTTAATCTTTCCTTGATTTTTACCATACCTATTTATAAAAAAATTTCCAATGACTTGATTCCATGATTGCCACTATGGTCTGTCCAATAAGAGATAGGGCGATTTCGACACGGAACATTTAAAAAAACGACCAAAAATACAATCTACATTATAATTAACAGTCACAGAGAGTCATTGAGAAGTCAGTAAAATAATATATTATCTCATTAGATATGCTATATGTATTTGAATACCTAGATAATATTAGTGATATGGTGAAATAATACATATATATTATTAATTATTATTGTATATTTTTCCAATAATTAGAGACATCTCAAGTGAAAGATATAGATAATATAGAGATTTTACCAAGGTTTTTGATTTTATTTTGTGGGACATTTTTTTCTGCCAAATAGTAAGTATCTTAAACTTAAAGAACTGTACTGGGTTGTTTTCTGACGTAAAATGTGTGGGGTAATTTACTCTAAGTGACGTGTATTTACCAATTTATTTATTAGATTCATTAGAAAAGTTTATTTTCGCGAGTGTTAATGAATGACTGTAATTTTTAGAATTTAAACTCGAGTAAATAAATAGGCAATTAATTGGTAAAATTTAAAAACGATCATTACCACTTTCTTAGAACATTTGCCGCAACAACAAACATCATTTTTTATAAATTAAAAATCTGTGGTGTTGAAAATTATCTTCAACATTTATTACATTTTACATTCTAGCAATTTTAATTCATTAGCCATATTCAAGTAATTTTTTTATAACAAATTTGAATTGAGGAAATGTTTTGATATCAAAATAGAACTAAATAAAGAATGTAGATTATGCATCCGCTACGGTATCGTCGTGATCTACAAAATTAGCCAAACCGAGGAAACAGTCGTTACGTTAGTCATCCAATTTGTGCGGTAAAAGTTTGCGATATCGAATCGAATTCCCGTTTAACTTCTTGACCTCTTCTATCACCTGGTCGTCGAGTTAAAGCCATAAAAGTCTTGTAAAATATTCGAAAAGATATTATAAAATTTAGTCAGAATCGGCATATTATATTATGTTCTAATATCTTTCTAATATCCAACAGTCGCCCTTACGCAAAACTTTCCTCGTACTCTCGTCGATCGATATTTCATTCATGGAGAAAGTCGTCCTTATGTTCCATAGTGGATATGGATTAAGAAACCAAATTGGGCGACAATTTCTTGCTATCGGTTAAAACCAAAAATATCAAGAATTATATTATGTAATTTATGATAGAATTACTCTGAATACACTGTCAAATTGTAATATTAAGTAAATATAAAAAAATACGACGGATTATTTTCAGGTGAATTTTAGTATGTAATGAAAAGAAATCATTTTAAAATAAAACCACCACCATATTGAATTTTATTTTCTTTTATTTTAAGATAATTTTTAAAGTCACTGAATTCTTTTCTAGGGAAATCTATCTTTGATATTATTGACATTATAAATAGCACTAATTTTTGTAATTTGAAATGGAATTTACATCAATGTTTTTATTATTATTTTTATTTTTAATAAAATGACATAACGGGTGGGGGTGGTGCATCGGCGTTAGGAACAAAGGAGATCCCTTGGAATAAAAAGATAAAAAGGGAAATCCCATGCAAATTTTGAACTGTCCAAATAGATATTAGCTTCTCTATTGAATTTACGCCGAAGTCGTAAAAGGGCTTTTACACATGTGCGAATGTTGAATACACATACTAAATTTGAGCAATTTTGGACAAGCCGATTTTAAGTAATTTAAGAAAAACTGCATCTATTTTTAAATTAAATCTAAACAAGGTAACATAGCTTTATGTTGACATTTTTAATTTTTTCAGATAAAAAACGAGATTTGGTACGTTAATATAGGACATAAATTAGGATTGATTGACGAACTCAATTGTTTTTCGTCACTTCCTGTTTCGCCAGAAATGACTACAACTTTTGATTTTTAAATGACACTCTCGGTATTTTTTTACTGTATTCGATAGAAAATGACACTGTGAGTAGAATGACATATCATATGTGAACTTTTGACATTTTCGCTTTAGAAAAATAGTGTTTTAAATTTCAATCTAGAGTGCCACGGCTGTGCTAAAAATACTAATTTTTAATCAAGGAGCCTTGGAAAAAAAGTTTTGAACCTATAATGTGTTTCGTGTCTTGTTTCGTGACCAGTTAAAAGATGTAAATATCGTATTTTTAATCATATCTCAATTTTTTCAAATGGAACAAGCGTGGCTCATTAGCATATTTGGAAAAAGCATTTTTTTACGAATAATTTGGTACCACACACTTGGTATTTCGAATCAAATTGTCATTATTAACCGCATGTTACAATTTCAGATAAACCATATATGCAAAAATGTCAAAAGTTGACATATGATATGTCATTCTACTCACAGTGTCATTTTCTATCGAATAAAGTCAAAAAATACCTAGGGTGTAATTTAAAATTCAAAAGTTGTAGTAATTTCCGGTGAAACAAGACGTAACCAAAAACAATTGAATACGTCAGTCAATCCTAATTTATGTCATACACTAACATACCATCTTGTTTTTTTATCTAAAAAAATAAAAAGTTATAGATATGTACCACTTTTAAAATGCACCCGGTATGTTGAAATAAAGTTGTATGTGAAGCTACTTCTGCAGTCTATGCTGTGCTACTACTACTTAATATACTGCTAATTTATATGTCTTATTTTTCAGCACATTAGTTCCTTGGAAGATATTCCGCGAAGAACTGAACAAGATACACCCGATCAGTTCAGGCCTTGAGGCCATGGCCTTAAAATCCACCATCGATCTTACTTGTAACGATTACATATCTAATTTTGAGTTCGATGTGTTCACTAGGTAAGGCCTTAACACCTATAATTTATTTTTTATCTCGATTTTTACCTATTTTTAAGAATATGATGTTTTGCCGGCCGAATGAATTCCCAAGTGCCGTCCGTACCTATTTCGCAAAAAGAAATATATGTGTGTGTTGCTGTAAGATTTCATTCATTCGACAGACAGTACATCTAAATATTTACTAGGTTTTTATCAAAGCGCGCCCATCTCGAAAACATCAACAAAAATCTATTTTAAATGAAGCCGGACCGGAAGTTCAAATTTAGTGGTTCAAATCGCGTACATTTCACCAATTTTCAGATTCATTTTAAAGGAAAAAAGTTGCTCAATAAAAAATTACGAAAACACTTGTATGTATTTGCGGTTTTTTTCTTTAGATATTATATTTTTTAATTCGCAAATAATACACTCACCGGCAGGAAAAAGGGACACCATAAATTTTGATGTATTTTACAGTTTTATATATTGTGTTCTAGTGGACTGATTTTGATGATCTTTTAAGCAATTTGTACCTAAATTATTTGACTTTTTAGTATCTCTAAATTAAAAATGAAAGTACGGTTTGAACACAAACTGCTTTTATTTATTTAAACTAGCGTGTACCAGCGACTTCGTTCGCGTCGAAATAATCATTTCTAATGGTGATGATAAAGCAAAGCAAGAATTTCCATTATCATACAAACTGGATAAAATTTTCTCACATTTACGTCAGCATGAGAAAAAACAATATGGGGATATTATTATATAACTTGGTAATATTTGAGGGGTAGTTTCATCTCGTTGGAATTTGACTTTCGAAAAATCCGTTTGCCAAAACTAAGCTTTTTACGTCAAGCAATTTAAGCAGAATCGTGGTTAAGAAATTACCCAACTTTTTGCAACACGCTGATTTTTTAAACCCCTCCTTATCGAACCTCTACACACCACAGTCAATCCGTTTGCCAAAAATCGGCTTTAAACGTCAAGCAGTTTCAGCATAATCGTGATTACTCATTGGTCATATTTTATGAAACACCCTGTATAAATTTATAAAAAATCTTAAAATATGTAAAACAACAAAATAAAATATATTTGTTTAAGAGTTTTTCCGAAAAACTCACCGGTTTTTAAATAAAAAATATTTTAATATTTGAGGGATAGTTTAACCCCCTTAGAATTCGAGATTCGAAAAATCCCTTCTTATCGAACCTCTACACCCTAAAGTCAATCTGTTTTCCAAAAATCAGCTTTTTACGTCAAGCGCTTTAAGCAGGATCGTGATTAATCAATGACCAGATTTTTCGAAACACCCTGTATACATTTTTAAAAAATCTTAAAATATGTACAAAATAAAATAAAATATACGTGTTTAAGCGTTTTTTCGGAAACTTGGCCGTTTTTTAAATAAAAAATACTGTAATATTTGAGGGGTGGTTTCACCCTCTTGGAACTGGAATTTCGAAAAATCTCTTCGTATCGAACCTCTACACCCTAGAATCAACCTGTATGCCAAAATTGAGCTTCTTACGTTGAGTGATTTGAGCAGGATCATGATTAATCAGTATGTCAGTCACTTAAGGATTTTATATATTAGTAGTATAGATAGATTGCACCTAAGCAAAGTTTATGTAAATGAACGGGCTGTAAGAAGATTAAACGATGCAAATATTATGTGAAGAATGCCTGCTTCGGGACCACAACTTACTAGGTCTGTTGACTAGGACCAAAAGCAAAGGCATGGTTTTAATGTAAAAATTACGAAAAAAATGTTAGTGTCTTCTTCAAAAGCGAATATCTCCCACGAAAATAAAGCTAGTGAGATGAACCAAAAATCAAACTATCGAGAAAAGATGTACCTAGACGATAAAATGATTCTTAAAGTCCTTGCTGTATTAACGTATTCCACAGGGTGTCTCAAACTTTTGCCAATATCAGTATTTTGTTTTCCCTCGTATAATTGACAGATGAGAACTTTCATTTTTAATTTAGAAAGATATACTAAAAAGCCAAATAATCTAGCTACATATTGCTTAAAACATCATCAAAATCGGCCCACTATAGAACAAAATATAGGCATTAAACTTTAAAATACATCAAAATTTTAAAGTGTATGTAAAATTTTAATTGTGTATTTTACTAATTTATATTGAAATAATTTTCACTTTTGCTTTGTAACTGATTTTTCTCAAGAATAAAACATGATCTCTATAATGCAATATTAACTTCTCCCTGTTAAAAAAAAGATATTGATAAACGATCTTGGACAGAGATGGTTATGGAAAATCGTGCGATTAAATTCGATTCCGTTGCAAGTTAAAAGCGCATAAATTTGATCGTCGGTCCGATTGAATCGCGAGTCAAATGCGCGCCGTTAATATTCATAAATCCCGCTCCGAATTGAGCCTTAATTCGAGCTCGGATTTTATTCGATTTTCGCCACCGGAATGCCAACTACTAGATATTCGGTGCGACAACTCAATATTGTAACCGCGAGTCGTATTTAAAACGTCGCATTACCAATCAACCGATTTATGCATTTAGTGTGGCATAATAAACGATTAAGAAATATTACAGTTTCTGTTCGATGGTTAAATTAACGTTTAAATTGTTATAGGTCTTAATTTGTTCATTTATTTGACGATATAGGTTATAAAATAACTCACACCGATTTGATTTTTATTCAAATTATCCCATCAAGAACACACAGAATGAAAAACTAGCCAAGTTTTGCAATGCAGTTCTGCAACTACAAAAAGTTATGAGATCTCATGTAAAACAATATCAGTTATTTTATTAGTGTCCATGGAACAGAGTTTCCTAAAATCCCGGGACCTCTGTGTATGCTTATCGCCGAAATCCCGATATTAAATTCCGGGATCCCGAAAATCTCGAAAAAAATTAAAAGCCCAATCTAAAATGATTAGACTTAGTCTTTCTACGATCATATTTTATTTATACTAAGCGGAACGTCAATATCTAAAATTTGTATTTCCGTGTTTGCTTTTATTTTATTTTTTTTTCTAACAAGAATTGCACGCAACAAGAACAACATATAAATCACTGGTGGATTGTTTTGTCTGTTTTAATAAAACTCTTTGCCCATTTTCTTTTTGATATACAGGGTGTCCCAGGCTGAGCGTGCATTAGAAGTTTCTAGAGAACTATAACATCTAGATCGGAGATTTTTTGCACATCATGGTTTCACAATGAGATCTATCGATTAAAAATATTTTCAATATGGCGGTCCTTCCGGAAATACCGGAAGTTGACAGCAACTTTCTTATTTTAAATGGGTTTCCCATGGGTATCCCAATTTTTTATTACATGCTTATGCTTAAGTTCTCTGTAAAATTTTATGAATTTTGGTATCAAATACTCTATACCTATCATTAACCGTTTTTGAGAAAAGACATATTTAAAATTTTGGGAGGAAAAAACTCTTTCAAAAAAATCTGTATAGCCTAAACTACAAATTTAGTGATTACCACAGCCACTGTGGCATAAAGAGAAGACATGTGGCTATCTATTTCAAAAATTAAATTGTGCGAATGTCTTATAATACCGGCTGTAGCTGTCATGGAATTGAGAGATTGAGAATGTCCGATCTAGATATTGTAGTTCTCTAGAAACTTCTAATGAACGCTCAGCTTGGGACACCCTATATGTAGCTGCATTTTTATTATGTATTTCTTTAGATTAAATTTCTCATTCTGAAAGTCAATCACTGGATCCCGGAATTATAGGTTCTAATCCTGGGATTTCAACACGGATTCCCGGTCCCGAAAATTGGAAACCCTAGTCAATAAAACTGTTGATCGGTTATTCATTAGATAACAATGTATAACAAAGTTGTTGAATAGGTACTTCCATTGAAACTAAATAAATTGGTTTTACACGAGATCTCACATATTTTTGTAGTAGCAAGAACCGCGTTGGGGAAGTTGGCATTTTATTTGTAATCTGTAATCTGATCCAGAGCGTTTCCCTTCGATTCGCAGATTATTCCAGCCGTGGACGACGTTGCTGCGCAACTGGCAAATCCTGGCCGTGACGCATCCCGGCTACGTGGCCTTCCTCACCTACGACGAGGTGAAGGCTCGCCTGCAGCGCTACATCAACAAGGCGGGTTCGTACGTGTTTCGTCTCTCTTGCACCAGGCTGGGCCAGTGGGCCATCGGCTACGTCACGCCGGACGGCGAAATCCTGCAAACGATCCCGCAGAACAAGAGCCTCATTCAGGCGCTGCTCGACGGATACCGGGAAGGATTGTAAGCGACATATAACTAATATCATATACTAGATATAAATATATTTTTTAATTTTTGTTAAAGTCAACAAAAAAAAAACTCAGTGGTCTTTTTAAAACACAAATTTGTTAACTTTTTTTTTTCCTTTCTAGTTACCTCTATCCCGACGGTAGGTCGGTGAATCCCGACCTGTCCTGGGCCGTACAACCGAGCCAGGAGGATCACATAGCCGTCACGCAGGAGCAGTACGAGTTGTACTGCGAAATGGGCAGTACGTTCCAGTTGTGCAAGATTTGCGCGGAGAACGACAAAGACGTCAGGATTGAACCCTGCGGCCATTTGTTGTGTACCCCGTGTTTAACAGCTTGGCAAATGGTAAGATTCTTGCGTTTACATTACTAAAAGTATCAGCATCATCATCATTTTCCGCTTATTCAACCATTTTCAATTATGGCGTAGCCTCCTTCATATACAGGGTGTCATTGAAATGGTGTAAAATATCCACCATTGGTGTAAAAAACACCATTTCAAGGACACCCTGTATTTAGATAATTTCTTTGTAACTGGGCCAGTTATTGTCTATTGTTGGCTATGCGGGCCCAAGTTATCCATGCTAATTTCCTAATGTCATTCCATAATCATGGTCCCATCTCAGGTTTGGTCTTCTTCTAGGTCTCTTAATTCCTCGGGGGTATCATTCTGTAATTTTTGTGGTCCATCAGTTGTCCGTCCTTCTTGCCAGGTGTCCTACCCATTGCCACTTGAGGATTCTGTCGATGACATCTATTACCTGGGTCTTTTGTCATATCCACTCTATTCTTCTAAGGTCTTTGTTGGTTATTCCCAGCATATTTCGTTCCATTGAAAGTTGTGCGGTGCGACCTGTAGTTTCCTTATGATATCTGTTTTAAGTGTCAATATTTCGCATTATTAGCCTAACATTTTTTTTCATTATTAGTCATTATTTATCTTCATTAGTAATTTCCCAAGTTTATGCGTATATGTTAAAGATCACCCAGTATATATTTTTAAGTGCCTCTAAAATAATATATCTATTTAAATAAGAAATTATGATTTCTATTAATAATTTGTGTTTATTTTATCTATATGTTGTTGCAGGGTTCGGAGGGCCAGGGTAGTCAGGGCTGTCCCTTCTGCAGGGCGGAGATCAAGGGGACGGAGCAGATCGTGGTGGATCCGTTCGATCCGAAAAAGTCGCACAATATAAAGAACTGCCTGTCGGCGTCGCAGAACGTTTCGAATTTGGAGGACGAGGAGGAATTCGAGGTATCCAAATCTGACGCTAATCACACGAATAACTACACAGAATGAACGCCGTATACACCCATTATTGTCTTCCATTTTTTTTTCAATCCTGAACAAAATGTCGACCTATATTTTCTTTAGTTTACCTTTTGTATCTACACTCAAAAAAAGTCGAAAAAACTGCACAATTAATTGATTTGTTTTTATTTCACACAAATACTGTTGTTTTATAATTAGCGTTTTAGTTAATTCTTCTACACAAACATAGCTGTAAATTAGTTCCATACTTACTTGGACTCTCACAAGTCTAGTAATAAATAATACCCAAAAAAGTTTTTATAAATGTATGTATATCCTAAAATGCTTCGTTTCGGGGATACAGGGTGTAGAAGTTTTTTTTTTTATTTCGATTTATTCAAAATAATTTATGAGCTAACGCTGACATTTGTATGAAAATTGGTGTCTGTGTTTTTTTTTGGAATAAATTTGAAATGTTTTTGTTCCAAAGATTCAACAGAAACTGTTTTATTGTATTTTTTCTAGAAAAATTCATAATTAGCTTAAAAAATTAAAAAGTTCTCAAATTTATCATTTCATTCAAATAACTATCTATTCAACATGTTTATTTTTTTATCAATAATGATATGTATTGACTATTCCCATTCTAAATATCTTGAAAACGGTTACTCGTCGCGATTTTTCTCAAGAGACATTTTTTACGTAAAAAACTACGGAAATGTATATTTTTTCGATAAGTAGTTTTATACAGGTCCGGGAAAAAGTTATTACCCTTCAAATCAGTTAAAAACATGTAGGTGGCGCCCCCTACCAGTAGGAGTCATATTGACATCAAAATCCCAAATTTCTCATGTCAAAAAACACCCAGACAGCATGACAGCAATTTTCATTCAGATATCGACGTTAGTTCAGAAATTATTTGGAAAAACCGAAATAAAAATGAAACTTCTATACCTTGTATCTCCGAAACTAAGCATTTTAGCGTATACATTTATACGGACTTTTTTACTCATTTTTATCTGCAGAATATGCTGCCGAAGTTTCCCGAATACATTTCGGACCACCCTGTATATGTATTAAAAGTACTTAGTAGATACTTAATTACAATTAATTCAAGATAACCATTTTTGTAGTTTAATTTAATCCTTGATTTTTTTTTGAGTGTACCATAAACCTATTTATTTTACACACGTTTCTTGGCTGTGCTCGTTTCTTTTTGTGTTTTTTTGCAAGTTTTCCTATTGCTTAGCAGAGAAAAAAACACCATTTTATGTTATATGTTCACCTGTTGTATTGTATTCGCTTTATTTTTGTTTTGCATCCGCATTTTGAATCCATTGTTTTTGTGTCACCGCTTATAAAGATACACTTTAAATGGGAATATCTTCATCTTATAAAAAGTATTACAAACTTAAATTTTACTAAAAAAATGTTCTATCATTATTATATTATGTTTTTTAACCGCTACAACATCGTGCTTACGAAACCATTATATGAGTAATTAGATAAAAAGTTTGTAATAATTTAATAAGCTGTTAAAACGATTTTATCGTTTAATTAATGTATTTCTTTTATTAATGGCCATATATGTATTAGATTTGTATTAGAAATTATATTTACTGATTTTACTTTTAGTTAGAGATTCGTTCTAATAAGGAATAATAAGTTTTTGTAACGTCCTCCAGTGTAATATATTTGTATAAAAGTAGATTTTAAAAACGATAGTTATCTAGCCTAATAAAATTATTAAGGGCCAAATTGATTTTTCTTATTTAATAATCCAGCAAATGGCTGCAGTTTTTTTCTTTCCTTAAATGTGCATGATCATAAATAGAGAATTTTTTAAAACTACATTATGTTTTAATTTACATCAAATGCTCTAACATTAGAAGCTGTAAGAAAGTACTGAACTGGAATTATAATATCCAACCATATTAATAAAAATACTAATAAATCCAATTCTTAGATCTCTGCAGCCCTAAAGTTCTTCTCACATTACTTATGTGAGAGTTAGTTAACATTTAACTTGAGTGGAAATTCAAAACAATAAATAATAAAGAAATATAAAAGTTACGTGAGAAGTACTATACATGTTTTATTTTATTATTTGCAAAAGCATTTTTACATATTTGACTTTTTCAATATACAATATTTTCACGCATTTTTTTTTTAAATAATCGCTGTTTCATGTTCGTTATGTTATGTTTAGGGGCAGTGTATTGTATGTCTTGTTCGTTAATAGTATGTCTGAGCTTATTGTGAAATGTACACGAATGTATAGGTAAGTAGGACATTGCATGAACATTTGCCTGTTGGCTTTTTGTCTTTATTGGGGGACTTGTAACGAGGATCTAACGTTAGAAAAAAATGTGTTTTAGGATCCGGGAGAGTTGTGGAACTGCGCGGGAAGTAGTTTACACGCCTTAGCACTGAAGCCTCGCACTGACATCTCGGTAAGTGCATAATGTTAATGCACCTATTTAATAGACACCAAAATAAAGCTAATATTCTGTTCTGACTGTGTAATGCAAAAATTTGACAAAAAGAGTTTTTTGCAATTATTGTTCAATACTCTTTATTTTTTCCTATCTTTTTAAAATCTGTCCAACGAATAAATGCAGACAACACTGTAACAGTTGTTGTCTGCATTTTCTGTCAATTTTTTATATTGGTATGTCGAAATCTTAACTGACTCGTTGGAGAGACTTTACATGCATTGCAGAATTTGTACATTTTCAACCAAACGAAAAACCAATGACGTGTTTTCTTAAGCAGTCCGCCAGCCCGATGATATCCCCTGGCAGCAGCCCGCGGTTCCTGAGACGCAACCCGCCGGGCACCGTGGTGGTCCCTACCGCGGCGCCTCCTCCCTTGCCGCCACGCAAGAGCTCCCCCACCCACGAATCGCCGCCTGCGGTGCCCACCACGTCGCAACAGGCCGCCCTCAGCGAAGCACAATCACAGTCTGTGACCAACCTGAGCCATCACACGATCGAAGTGCCGCCGCCACTGCCCAAGAGCAACTCGATGCTGGAGATGCACCGGAGCCTCGAGAACGCCGCGCCGTCGGAGCCTCCGCTCGAGCTGAGCACTCCGGAGACCATCGTGGGCCTGGTCGTTTCCAATTGTGATAATAATGTGATCGACACGAGCAAGGCGCAGACGAGGCACCTGAGCTGTCCCAGTAACAGGACGGCGCCCAAGGCGGTACCGCCCAAGTCCAACACCAGTCCGAACATCGGCAAGACGGGGTACGCGAACGTCGATGCGGAACTGCCGCCCAAATACAAGAAGAAGATCAATCCGCTGGAGCGGGAGGCGAACGTGTCGTATGAGAACCTGAACATGGACTACATCAAGAAGCTGGTGAGCGAGGGGTACTCACGCGATTCGGTGATCAAGGCGCTGGGAATCACGCGGAACAACATCGACATGGCGTGCGATATTCTGCACGAGTTCGGCACGAAATTGGGATAGCGGAACGGGGCTGTCACCTAATTCGTACAATTTGTAACTGCTGTCGTTGGTGCTGTTTCGATTTGAAATTGTAGCAGGTAGCGGCAGCGATAATCAAACGATACACCATAGGAAACCAGCCTAATGGAACGTTGTCCATCTCAGACAAGTAATTACTCTGGAAGAATTTGATTTATTCTTAAAATTAAAAATTCAAAAATAAGCATAAGAAAAATCAGTGACGACGAGTATACAGGGTGGTTCGAATTGTATTCGGGAAACTTCGGCAGCATATGAAAAGGAAGGGAAACTGAACGGATAGTATGCATTGTCCTATTTAATAAAATTATATAAGGATTCTTGTGCCACTTAACTGCTGATATAGAAATTTAATTCTACGCTGTGTTTGTCATAATGAGGATCAACCTGCTCTCACTACCGGTTTCGGAGCCCTACTCCATCATCAGGTGAGCTTGGGCAGATCAACAAAATGACAACCACAACGCAGAGACAGTTAGTTAGTTAGATATTAAGTCCCGAACGGGAGATAGCGGCCTGCGTGCAATGGTAGTACTTTCGTACCACCGAGGCGAAACTATCGATAGTAAATAGATGGTAAAAGGCTTTTTTTCAGGCAAGCCAAATTATAAAATAAAATAGAATATACTGCAAGAAATTTGTTTTCTATTTTATAATTTGGCTTGCCTGAAAAAAGTCTTTTACCATCTATTTACTATCGATAGTTTCGCCTCGGTGGTACGAAAGTACTACCATTGCACGCAGGCCGCTATCTCCCGTTCGGGACTTAATATCTAACCGACACTTTCCGACAAGTCGGAATTAACTATCTCTGTACTGTGGTTGTCATTTTGTGGATCTGCCCAAGCTCACCTGATGATGGAGTAGGGCTCCGAAACCGGTAGTGAGAGCAGGTTGATCCACATTATGACAAACACAGCGTAGAATTAAATTTCTGTATCAGCAGTTAAGTGGCAAGAATCCTTATATAATTTTATTATATACCTATACTGCAAGAAACTTGTCCTATTTTTTTTGTTTATTTTTTACATGATATAATATTTTATGTAAAGGAAGAGAAACGGAAGGTAGCGGATACGGAAGGTATAGTGAGAATCAACCTTTACTCGTAACGCTTTTTACCAAGAGACCTTTTTTATGTAGAAAACGGCAGAGCGATCTATAAGTTTATACCCAGTAGGGAGTATAATACAGGTACGAACGAAAAGTTATTATCCTTCCAAACAGTTAATAAACATGTAGGTTACGCCCCCTACAAGTAGGAATCAAACTAACATGGAAATCGAATTTCTCATTGCAAGAAACATCCAGACACCAATTTTCATCCAAACATCGACGTTAATATAGAAATTATTTGGAAACCATCGATATAGGCATGAAACTTCTACGGCCTATATCTCCGAAACGAAGTATTTTGGGACAGAATTTATTATTATTTAGTACTGCAGAATATCATGCTGCCAAAGTTTCCCGAATACAATTCTGACCATCCTGTATATAAATCCAGCTCTATAGTTTAGTCTATTAGTTAAACCAGGTTTTTGTTACTTTACATTTGTTGTACTCTTAAACTAGCAACTTAACATGTTGCTTAGATTTGAATCTAAGCAACATGTGATGATACTCTTCAATTTTGAACTTTAGTTTGAGATGTAGCGTTCTTTTATAATAATTATAATATACAGTATTGTAAATTGTATTTCATTACATGAATTACATTCTATAATTCGTTAGTTAATATAGCCGAATGAAACGAATAAAATAATCGCAAAATTGACGAACTAACGAAAAATACTTTGACTACATTGTTATTGATAAATCGGTAACATATTCAAATGTGATATGAGAAACTGAATGTTCATCCCACTTGCCCTAAAGCGTTTTAGTGTCAATGTTAAACTAAAAAAAAAAGTTTGATATGTATTGTATTCATGATTGAAAACTTGTATGAAAAAAATATATTCTGAGAGTATGAAAAAATGAAGCAGAGTTACCACGTTCATATCGTCAATTTTAATAATGGACCGACCCAACGTAACTCTGGCAGGACTTTTAAAATTTGTCGATTTTTAATAAAAGAAGCTTGTTTGCAATGGAATTAGTATTCATAATTTTCTCTAGTTTTGATCACAAATTTTCATGATTTAAAATATACCTAATAATCCTATGCAAACAAGGTTTTACCGCAGTTTATTTTAAGCGGTACTTACCTTCAGGTACGTCCATAGTGCTTGTTTCGCTTTGTGAACCTGTGAAACAACCGCTTGTAGTAGTAGCAAAAAGCGGAAATATCATTTGGCAACATGGATCTATCCCGTGGGGATCTATTATGTGTTTTTATTAGCTAGAGATAATGTTAATTTTAAACTGATACAAACAAGTACTACTAGGGTTCATGAAATTAGTCTCATTCTGAATTTGGTAAAAATCATAAATTATATCCACAACTCACAGCTCACCATCAAACATTTTACAAATATTTCCGCATGGAGAATGAAACGTTGAAGTATTTTCAACGAAACTGAAAACCGTTTAAAAAAATGCTGCAATTTTCAAATTATATAGATGGTTATGATTAAAATCGATTAATTTTTAATAATTTTGTTATAACTTGAATTGTGTTAAAGCACAACTTTTATTGGTAGGTTAGAAATGAACCGAGCAGGGAAATTAAGTTTGGGAGAGCGTGAGAGTTGAATTGGTTTCAAAACAAATAGCTGTGATAAAACTGTTGAGCTGGTGAAGCAAAAAGGAACACTAATTCATTCCGGTAAAAGCAGTTTAAGCTCGCGTCTAAGCACTATGTCCAGGCGCATACAGTTGTTCCTCTATTTTTCACTGCTAGTCTGTCGCGAGAAGCCGCACTATGGACGTACCCCTATTTTTAATGAGAAGAATATAAACATTTTAAACCATAAAGGTTATTTTTGCATCGGAAAGTATTAATTATTAATAATTCTAATGTTTCGATAGGGTGTATGATGGAATAGGCAATATTTTGGTATGCTTTAAGAAAGTACTTTTACATATCTATTTTTAGACTTCATTTTCCTTGATATCGAGTGTCGTTTTCGTGGTTTTTCGATTAGTTGCTGTAAATTTACGATACAAATGTAAATACATATAAACTAGTCCTATTTATTGAAAAGTGTTGAAAACTTGATACAATAGCTGTATCCCGTTAATGAAAAAGATAAGTCTGAAATATCGTTATTTATAGTTCAATATACCTGAAAAAGCTTAGCAAATATTCATATTTTCAATTGCATATTCGGTGGAAATAAAAAAACAATGCCAAAAAAATATTCCTAATAGTTTCTATTCTTTTTTTGTATTTTATATATGCAAGGTACGCCGTCTTTATATTAGCATAATAGAGTCCAGATTCCAGACTGTCAAGTTACAAAATGTATATTAATTTTCCTCAGGAACTACCCAAGTTTGTATATAAATAAAATATTTAATTTCTTCTTTTTTTTGTATTTGTGTAAATAAATACTTTGCATCAGTAATGTAATAAATTCGATCACCTTATCTATGAGTGTTTTATTGCCTTCCTAAGATGAAAGTATATTCATAACAAAAAAAATGGAGTTTTCTTCTCGGTAATTTTAAGTCAAATTATAATTTTAGCGCTCGGGCTGAGTTTCACATTTAAAAAAGCAGTAAAAGGGCTTTTCTCTGTTTCAAAGAAGTCCTGATAATTTTAAGTAATTGTTCGTATCATTAACTGGTAACTTAGTTATCTTCAGTTTTGGGATGGATCTAAGTCTATGAACGAAATACATTTATTTATTTATTGATTTACTGATTTATCGATTCATGCATTTATAGATTTAAATTAAATATGTTTTTCCTTAATTTTTTCTTCAAGCTAAACTTTTCTTCATTTTTCGTAACAGGTAATGATAGGAGCAGTTACTTAAAACTATCAGCGCTCCTTTGAAACAGAGAAAAGCCCTCTCGTTGCTTTTTTTTAAATGAGAAATTCAACTCGAGACTCGAGCGCTTAAATTATAATTTGAAAACTGACCTAGGAGACGTCATATTTTTCATCGTCTTGCTAAAATGACTGAGAACAAAATTAATTTCCAGTTCTTATTTCAGTTGGCTTGAAAAAAATAAAGGAAAACCAAATTTTATTTTGATCTATAAATCAATAAACCAAAAATAATAAAACCAATAAATCGATAAATAAGTAAATCAATAAATCCATAAATCAATAAATCAATAAATCCATAAATCGATAAATCCATAAATCAATAAATTCATAAATCGATAAATAAGTACTGTAATAAAAACTTAACAGTTCGTATCATTAACTGGTAACTTAGTTATCTTCAGTTTTGGGATGGATCTAAGTCTATAAACGAAATACATTTATTTATTTATTGATTTACTGATTTATCGATTTATGCATTTATAGATGTAAATTAAATATGTTTTTCCTTCATTTTTCTTCAAACTAAACTTTTCTTCATTTTTCTTAACAGGTAATGATAGGAGCAGTTACCCCTAAAACTATCAGCGCTCCTTTGAAACAGAGAAAAGCCCTCTCGTTGCTTTTTTTAAATGAGAAATTCAACTCGAGACTCGAGCGCTTAAATTATAATTTGAAAACTGACCTAGGAGACGTCATATTTTTCATCGTCTTGCTAAAATGACTGAGAACAAAATTAATTTCCAGTTCTTATTTCAGTTCGCTTGAAGAAAAATTAAGGAAAAACAAATTTAATTTAGATCTATAAATCAATAAACCAATAAATAATAAAACCAATAAATCGATAAATAAGTAAATCGATAAATCAATAAATCCATAAATCGATAAATGAGTAAATCAATAAATCGATAGATCAATAAATCCATAAATCGATAAATCCATAAATCGATAAAACAATAAATCGATAAATCCATAAATCAATAAATCCATAAATCGATAAATAAGTACTGTAATAAAAACTTAACTGTTCGTATCATTAACTGCTAACTTAGTTATCTTCAGTTTTGGGATGGATCTAAGTCTATAAACGAAATACATTTATTTATTTATTGATTTACTGATTTATGGATTTATGCATTTATAGATTTAAATTAAAAATGTTTTTCCTTAATTTTTCTTCAAGCTAAACTTTTCTTCATTTTTCGTAACAGTTAATGATAGGAGCAGTTACTTAAAACTATCAGCGCTCCTTTGAAACAGAGAAAAACCCTCTCGTTGCTTTTTTTAAATGAGAAATTCAACTCGAGACTCGAGCGCTTAAATTATAATTTGAAAACTGACCTAGGAGACGCATATTTTTCATCGCCTTGCTAAAATGACTGAGAACAAAATTAATTTCCAGTTCTTATTTCAGTTGGCTTGAAAAAAATAAAGGAAAAACAAATTTTATTTTGATCTATAAATCAATAAACCAAAAATAATAAAACCAATAAATCGATAAAAAAGTAAATCAATAAATCGATAAATCAATAAATCGATAAATGAGTAAATCAATAAATCCATAAATCGATAAACCAATAAATCGATAAATCAATAAATCGATAAATAAGTACTTTAATAAGAACTTAACAGTTCGTATCATTAACTGGTAACTTAGTTATCTTCAGTTTTGGGATGGATCTAAGTCTATGAACGAAATACATTTATTTATTTATTGATTTACTGATTTATTAATTTATCGATTTATGCATTTATAGATGTAAATTAAATATGTTTTTCCCTAATTTTTCTTCAAACTAAACTTTTCTTCATTTTTCTTAACAGGTAATGATAGGAGCAGTTACTTAAAACTATCAGCGCTCCTTTGAAACTGAGAAAAGCCCTCTCGTTGCTTTTTTTAAATGAGAAATTCAAATCGAGACACGAGCGCTTAAATTATAATTTGAAAACTGACCTAGGAGACGCATATTTTTCATCGTCTTGCTAAAATGACTGAGAACAAAATTAATTTCCAGTTCTTATTTCAGTTCGCTTGAAGAAAAATTAAGGAAAAACAAATTTAATTTAGATCTATAAATCAATAAACCAATAAATCGATAAATAAGTAAATCGATAAATCAATAAATCCATAAATCAATAAATCGATAAATGAGTAAATCAATAAATCGATAAATCAATAAATCGATAAATCAATAAATCGATAAATCAATAAATCGATAAATCCATAAATCGATAAACCAATAAATCGATATATCCATAAATCAATAAATCAATATATCCAAAAATCGATCAATAAGTACTGTAATAAGAACTTAACTGTTCGTATCGTTAACTGGTAACTTAGTTATCTTCAGTCAAATCAATAAACCAATTAATAATAAAACCAATAAATCGATAAATAAGTAAATCGATAAATCAATAAATCCATAAGTCAATAAATCCATAAATCGATAAAAGAGTAAATCAATAAATCGATAAATCCATAAATCGATAAACCAATAAATCCATAAATCAATAAATCGATAAATCGATAAATCAATAAATCAATAAATCTATAAATCTATAAATCTATAAATCTATAAATCTATAAATCAATAAATCAATAAATCAATAAATCAATAAATCAATAAATCAATAAATCAATAAATCAATAAATCAATAAATCAATAAATCAATAAATCAATAAATCAATAAATCAATAAATCAATAAATCAATAAATCAATAAATCAATAAATCAATAAATCAATAAATCAACAAATCGATAAATCAATAAATCAACAAATCGATAAATCAATAAATCAATAAATCAATAAATCCATAAATCAATAAACCAATAAATCGATAAATCAATAAATCCATAAATCGATTAATGAGTAAATCAATAAATCAATAAATCAATAAATCAATAAATCAATAAATCAATAAATCAATAAATCAATAAATCAATAAATCAATAAATCAATAAATCAATAAATCAATAAATCAATAAATCAATAAATCAATAAATCGATAAATCGATAAATCGATAAATCGATAAATCGATAAATCAATAAATCAATAAATCAATAAATCAATAAATCAATAAATCAATAAATCCATAAATCAGTAAATCAGTAAATCAGTAAATCGATAAATCGATAAATCGATAAATCGATAAATCGATAAATCGATAAATCGATAAATCGATAAATCGATAAATCGATAAATCAATAAATCAATAAATCAATAAATCAATAAATCAATAAATCAATAAATCAATAAATCAATAAATCAATAAATCAATAAATCAATAAATCAATAAATCAATAAATCAATAAATCAATAAATCAATAAATCAATAAATCAATAAATCAATAAATCAATAAATCAATAAATCAATAAATCAATAAATCAATAAATCAATAAATCAATAAATCAATAAATCAATAAATCAATAAATCAATAAATCAATAAATCAATAAATCAATAAATCAATAAATCAATAAATCAATAAATCAATAAATCAATAAATCAATAAATCAATAAATCAATAAATCAATAAATCAATAAATCAATAAATCAATAAATCAATAAATCAATAAATCAATAAATCAATAAATCAATAAATCAATAAATCAATAAATCAATAAATCAATAAATCAATAAATCAATAAATCAATAAATCAATAAATCAATAAATCAATAAATCAATAAATCAATAAATCAATAAATCAATAAATCAATAAATCAATAAATCAATAAATCAATAAATCAATAAATCAATAAATCAATAAATCAATAAATCCATAAATTGATTAATAAGTACTTTAATAAGAACTTAACTGTTCGTATCATTAACTGGTAACTTAGTTATCTTCAGTTTTGGGATGGATCTAGGGAAAGATCTTTGGGAAGTCTATGAACGAAATACATTTATTTATTTATTGATTTACTCATTTATTGATTTATCGATTTAAATTAAATATGTTTTTCCTTAATTTTTCTTCAAGCTAAACTTTTCTTCATTTTTCGTAACAGGTAATGATAGGAGCAGTTACTTAAAAGTATCAGCGCTCCTTTGAAACAGAGAAAAGCCCTCTCGTTGCTTTTTTTAAATGAGAAATTCAACTCGAGACTCGAGCGCTTAAATTATAATTTGAAAACTGACCTAGGAGACGTCATATTTTTCATCGTCTTCCTAAAATGACTGAGAACAAAATTAATTTCCAGTTCTTATTTCAGTTGGCTTGAAGAAAAATTAAGGAAACACAAATTTAATTTAGATTTCTTTTTTTTTATTTTTTTATTTAATTTTTTTAATAAATAATAAAAAAACCAATAAATCCATAAATCAGTAAATCGATAAATCAATAAATCGAATCAATAAATCGATAAATCGAATCAATAAATCGATAAATCAATAAAACAGTAAATCGATAAATCAATTAATCGCTAAACCAATAAATCCATAAATCGATAAATCAGTAAATCATTAAATCGATAAATTAATAAATCGATAAATCAATATATCGATAAATCAATAAATCGATAAACCAATAAATCGATAAATCAATAAATTGATAAATCAATAAATAAATAAATGAATTTCGTTCATAGAGTTACATTCCCAAAACTGAAGATAACTAAGTTAAAACGGAATGATACGAACAGTTACTTTAAACTATCACAGAGAAAAGCCGTTTCTTTGCGTTTTTTAAATGAGAAATTCAGCCCGAGCGCTTAAATTATAATTTGAAAACTGACCTATAAATAAAAAATAAAATAAAAATAATAAATTGATAAAAATAAGAACCGGATAAATCAATAAATCGATAAATCAATATATCAATAAATCAATAAATCGAATCGATAAATCAGTAAATCGATAAATCAATAAATCAATATATCGATAAATCAATAAATCGAATCTATAAATCAATAAATCGAATCAATAAATCGATAAATCAATATATCGATAAATCAATAAATCGAATCAATAAATCGATAAATCAATATATCGATAAATCAATAAATCGAATCGATAAATCAGTAAATCGATAAATCAATAAATCGATAAACTAATAAATCCATAAATCGATAAATCAATAAATCAATAAATCCATAAATTGATATATCATTAAATCCATAAATCGGTAAACCAATAAATCGATAAATCAATAAATCAGTAAATCAATAAATAAAAAAATGTATTTCGTTCATAAACTTATATCCATCCCAAAAATTTATTTATCTTTGATAAACACGTAGACTGCTCAAAATACACCTTGCGTCACTACGTATTTCTAAGCTGTTATCACTTTTCGTAACCACTGGCTCGCGTGTCACGGCTATGAATTGTTACTCATACTGGATAGAATAACATAATGTCTTCTCTGTGGTTTTTGTGAACAAAAAAAAACATTTTGATTTAACATTTTTTATTCAAAAACTAATATTTAACAATTTTATATCATTAACAATATTAAGTACGTAATAATAACAAAAACAAACTTAAAAAATAGGTTTATCACTCGTCCGACACAACCATAGTCCTAAATTATTTATTTATGCAGATAGTTGGAGAGAACCAAAAGTCCGAAGCTTAAAATGGCATAGAGACTGCCTGGAACACTTGCCAACATTTGGTATCTTTCCTCTAAAAACACCAAAGAACAGTTAGATTAGTTTTGATACACATGTTGCAGTGTACTCTGCCAGCGAGAGAATATACTATATTATGTATACAATTTCAACAGACTACATCCGATCTACAGACTACATTCTGATTAAAGTTATAATACATATTCTTTCTCTGGATAGAACATGTTTAGTTTTTCTAAGGTATACAAAATAAATGTGGTAATCGCAAAACAATTTCCAATGCAGCTGATCAACTTTGAGTGACAAGCAATGGCGACAGCGCTGCCAGTTTTTTTTTACTTTTAATTTAATAACTACTATTTTAGTGACTAATTGACTTATTTGTTTTATAGCTTATTTTACTTATTACATATTGGCAAAAACTAGTCCATTATGAAGATTATTATAAGCTTTATTATGGGTTATTTACTAATTTATTGATGTACAGGGTAGTCGGAATTGGTCTGTTTTAACAGAGAAAACCTATTTCCTAACTAGATAGAGCAAAACCGACATAGATGTCATGGACTCGATTTCTGAGACACGTTCAATGGCATAAACCGCCTGTTGATATTTTCACTGCCAACTGAGATACGGGGCCTTTTTGAATTTTTTACCATTTTGAAAACTGCCCATAACTTTTTTTATTTCGCGGAATATTAAAGCTCTGTAAAGACGTTCTTAAGGCACTTTCTTAAGCACAATCCAGTGGCGTAGTAAGTTTTTTTCTATGCTTGCTCTTTTTGTCAGAAATAATAAAAAGTATAATTTTTTAAATGGAAATCATAGTTGGCTATGAACTTAAAAAAATGCTGGCGTTTAACCATTTCGAACGATATAAAGTTATGGGTACCTATTTCTAAGAATGAGAGAAATATTAGGTTTTTTATCTTTGTATCGAAGTGTGCCTTGATTATATGTTGACCTAGTTGTCTAATTATTTTTTATCGCAATTTAATACTCTATAATATTATTTAATTTCTGCATAATTAAAGACTTTGAAAAGGTAAATTAACATTCTATATTAGTTTTAGTAATTACAATTGAAATCGATACAGTAAACAAAGAACAAAGTAATCAAAAAACGTATTTTTTGAGTGACGAATATAGTTTTCTAAAAAACTCATCTAAGATGTTCAAACTGAGCACCTCCTCGTTGAATACATAATAAACATCTTTTGCGCACAGAGTTACAGCGATTTATTAGGCGAACTGGTGTAATAAGTCCAAAATCTTGCCTAGTAGCCTTCTGCAATTCTTCTCTCGTCCAATGATTCTTCCCTTATACAGGGTGTTTCAAAACAAATGCGAAAAACTTCAGGGGGTGATTCCTTGTTAAAAATAAAGGGTAGTTTGCTTTATAAATGTTGGGTCAAAAGTCAACCATTAGGGAGATATCGCGGAACAAAGATGGCGGAAAAATGATGTTTTTATTTTTTATCTTGAAAACGAAAAGCGATAGACAAATGAAATTTTATAGAAGCATTACTGTTATAAAAACACACTTTCTGGTAATTTTTTTACATTTTTAAAATGAGTGAAAGGGGTTTAAATAAACTACCCCTATCATTCTTGTTAACGAAATTTAAAGAAAAATCTTATCAAACACATGCAAGATGCATTAATTTGGATAGTTTAGTTGATTTAGAAACTTTTTAATCTCTTGTGTTTTTTTGATAAAAGTCACCGATTTGAAATTAAAAAATAAAATGTAAAGCATTACATGTCAGGACAAAAAACATTTTTAGATAAAGAATCTAGTTGGCTGCTGTAATTTTCTTAGGAAAAAATCTAGTCGACCGCTGTCACTTTTTAGGATGTTTCTAATATTATTTAATTTGACATACTCTACTGCAATACGTTATTATCTTACGATCAATTAATTATTCCGAAGCCTTTTTTCTTTATCTAAAAATGTTTTCTGCCCTGACATGTAATGCTTTACATTTTATTTTTTAATTTTAAATCGGTGAGTTTTATAAAAAAAAACACAAGAGATAAAAAAGTTTCTAAATAAACTGAACTATCCAATTACTTTTTTGCATGTGTTTGATACGATTTTTCTTTAAATTTCATTAACAAGAATGATAGGGGTAGTTTATTTCAACCCCTTCCACTCATTTTAAAAAAGTGAAAAAATAACCAGAAAGTGTGTTTTCATAACAGTAATGCTTCCATAAAATTTCATTAGTCTATCTCTTTTCGTTTTCAAGATAAAAAATAAAAACATTGTTTTTCCGCCATCTTTGTACTGCGATATCTCCCTAATGATTGACTTTTGACCCAACGTTTATAAAGCAAACTACCCTTTATTTTTAACAAGGAATCACCCCCTGAAGTTTTTCGCATTTGTTCTGAAACACCCTGTATATAAGGTATTTTAATTTCCCCCATAAAAAAGGCGAAAAAGAAGTTAAATCACAGGACCAAGCAGGCCAAGATATGGGGCCCCTGGTTCCAATCCGATTCTCTCTAAATTCTCCATTTAATGGCGTTTTAATTGTAATTGGTAAAACTAATATAGAATGTTGATTTATCTTTTCAAAAGCCTTTAATTTTGCAGATAAATAATAATATAGAATATTAAATTGCAATAAAAAGTAATTAGGCAACTAGGTCAACACAAAATCAAGGCCCACTTCGATACAAAGATAAAAAACTCTAATATTTCTCTCATTCTTAGAAATAAATACCCATAACAGTATGTCGTTGGAAAGGGTCAAACATCAGCATTTTTTTAAGTTCATAGTCAACTATGATTTCCATTTAAATAATTATATTCTTTATTATTGCTGCAATTTTCAAAATGGTAAAAAATTCAAAAAGACCCCGTATCTCAGTTGGCAGTGAAAATATAAACAGGCGGTTTTTGCCATTAAACTTGTCTCAGAAATCGAGCCCATGCCATCTACGTCGGTTTTGCTCTATTTAGCCAGGAAATAGGTTTTCTCTGTTAAAACAGACCAATTTCGACCACCCTGTACAACTTACAATACCACAAGTGGTAATAACGAGAAAGAGGGTGCCGTTAATGCACAAACTAATAATCACAGAATTTAATAAAAACTAACTTTGCAAGTGGTATAATGTGCTTATCAATCAAACTTACTTTTCCGACTGCAGTCAAGGTTGTTTTTTGCAGCTTTAATCTAAATAAAATATCTGTAACAATAATTTGCCCTATAAAGTAAAATGAAGAGCTGCCCGGTATCTTAAATTATACAACAAATTTAAACATTTTTGCCAACATTTTATTTAGCCAGGTTTATAGACTTTAGTGTCAATGTCTATATGATTGATGACGTGCATCGGAAAATGTTTTGCGATTACAATAGAATAGATGTTTCGGGTCTTTTAATATACAGGGCGATTCGTTTTTTGTAGACTTTTTTTAAATACGAATATTACAATTCTTTTTTTTTCTACCAACAGGCTACAAAAAACGAAACAAACTGAACAAATCTAATCACCTGTCATAATAAACGATTTTTTATGCGACACCCATCCGAGTGACCGCTGCACGGCCATCTTCCACTTGGTATAGCGTGCGTCCCTTTCTGGAATAGAAAAAAATTTGCGTAGATTAAAATTGAAATAAATCGGTGTCGGTATTACCGTCTTCCGTCGACGTTGGTAGAAAGGTGTCGATGGGGACCGATTCCCTGGCTTCGGCGTTAATGTCCCACACTTCGATTCCTTTGGCGGATCCCGCTGCCATCGCCACGCCCAACGCCGTTATGTCCTGCGAATGGGCCCTTATAACTGGAATGCCTATTATATCAGCCTGAAAAAAATAAAATAAAAATAAATAATTTACGCACCTACTGAAGCCCTAAAATAATGCACAAGGTTATTTAAAAACGATCTGTGGCTTCTTATTTCAAAACCATTTTGTCTTACTTGCAAAACTTTCCATGTCGCCTATAGGCTTGGTGCATTCTCCGCCGGTGCTGCCACCCTCGAAGAATATCGTAAACAACCGGCATATACAGGGTGGTCCGAACTGTATTCCGAAAACTTCGGCAGCATTAGAGGTGAGGAGTTCGTGAACGAACTAGTTCCAATGGACTATTCCGACCCCGGCATGAAAGGAACTAGTTCCTGATTTCTCAAAGAACTAGTTCCTCAGGACCTATTCCGGGATCGAGACTGTGTCCGATATAGAATATGCGACGGATCGGCTAGCGCGCGTAGCCCGATGGTAGGCAGGAGTGGGGAGTGCCAGCCGTACGTTATCGGATCCGGACCCAGAGGAACTAAACTAAATAAAAGACTAGTTTACGTACGAACGGATCGGGCCAGCGCCATCGATGCTAGGCAGGAGTGGGGAGTGCCAGCCGTATGCCGTATGTTATCGGATCCGGACCTAAAGGAACTAGAGGAACTAAATAAAAGACTAGTTTACGTATGGACCAGCCAGCGCGATTGATGCTAGGCAGGCGTGGGGAGTGCCAGCCGTATGTTATCGGATCCGGACATAGAGGAACTATTAAGACTAGTTCACGGGAATCTATTCAGCAGTCGGCAGATCCGAGATATAATACAAGGCGACGACGATGGATTCGGCCTTGTCTATTGCCACAGCCGGCGCGGCGTAATTACCACAGAAAATTGTCGTAGATAATGTTTTTGATTTTTAGTTTGTTTTTTAAATATTTTATGGGAATGTTTCACTTTAGGTCCCTAAAATTAAAAAACGTCTTATAAAACGAAGTAGATATTCTGAATTTTTAGACAAAAACAAAAATCTTCAAGTGAGAGAAAATGCAATTTTTCGTAAAATTTTTGTAATATTTGCTCCAATTGATTTGTTATATAGGTTTTTAAATTCTGATTTGAGTTCTTTTTTATTTTTTTTTATCTGCAACAAAACTTACCTATATGTTTTTAACATACACAATTACACGTCTCGTTATATTGTAAATATCGTACATTATAAAAATTATACAGATCATATTGTGAATAGTTCTGACTGACAACGAAACGCATTAGCAAGCAAGGGGGATGTCAATGTTAATCGGGAACTATTGTGAACTAAAGATCTAGTTCAAGGAACTATTTCTCTGAAGGAACTAGTACTAAGGAACCAGAATTCCCACCTCTAGGCAGCATATTCTGCAGATAAAAATAAGTAAAAAATGTCTCTTGGTAAAAATCGCAACGAGCAACCGTTCTCAAGATACTTAGAATGGAAATAGTCAATATATGTCATTATTAACAAAAAATAAACCTGTTGAGTAGATAGTTATTTGACTGAAATGATAAATTAGGAAACTTTTGATTTTTTTAAATTAATAATAAATTTTTCTTCGAAAAAATGATGATAAAACAGTTTCTGTTGAACTTTTGGCACAAAAACATTTCAAATTTATGATTTCAGTTTAATAACTATTTAGTCAACATGTTTAATTTATGTCACTGACGACAGGTATTGATAATTTCGATTCCAAATATCTCGAGAATCATTACTCGTAACGATTTTTACCAAGAGACTTTTTTTGCGTAAAAAACGTCGCAAATGTATATTTTTTTACTCAGTAGTTTTATACAGGTACGGACAAAAAGTTGTTACTGTTCAAACCAGTTAAAAATATGTAGGTGACGCCCTCTACAAGTAGGAGTCATATCGATGTCAAAATCAAATTTATCATGTCAAAAAACCCTCAGACACTAATTTTCATCCAAATATTGACACTACTTCAGATTGTTTGGAAAAAATCGAAATAAAAATTAAACTTCTACACCCTGTATCTCCTAAACTAAGCATTTTAGGACATACATTTATGAAACGAACTTTTTTACTTTTTTTATCTGCAGAATATGCTGCCGAAGTTTCCGGAATACAGTTCGGACCACCCTGTATAAATACACAGGTTTAAATAGCGAGTATACGAAAAAAAGTTTATATAATTATTCTAAAAGTGTTAGGAAGTGTATAATTTGTGAAAATTCTAAACAACTACTAAAATACCTAAATATTATGACAAAAACTAATATAAAATGTTGACAAATGACATCAAAAAAATCATTTTTTGAATGTCGTTTGTCGAAATTTTCTCTGACTCGTTAGACAGACCCTATGTATTACTTTTAAAACAAAATCTCTGACAGCTTTTCCTATATTCTTTCACTAAACAAACTATACCTAAGAAACTAAATTCCAGTCATTTTCAAAAATAAAAGAAATGTAAAATGTATCAAAAAAGAATGAAATTCTGCACTTTTTACCTGTAACTGCATAAGCAAATTATTCTTCGTCATGATACCATCGACGTAAAGTTTAGATAGGGGTATTTCGGGTACGCCCGCGCAGTCCTTATTCATGGCCTCCAATATGTCCCTGGTTTGGAAACAGACGGCCTCCAGGGCGGCCCGAATTATATGTTGTTTCGTCGAGAAGGCCGTCAGTCCGCAAATTATACTGAAACGATTCAATTTATCGTTAAGACAAAGGCAGTTGTTTTTTAATACATCGATATAAAGAATAGGAAACAGAAAACTTACACACCCTCTTGCGTCTTTTCTCCAGTAGGGGGCGTACAGGCCCTTGAACGCGGGCACGAAATACACGTCGCCCGTGCTGAACACTTCCTTGGCCAGAGATTCCGTCTCCTCGCCGATGTTCTTCAAGAAACCCATGTTGTCCCTGAGCCATTTCACTGCGGCCCCAGCCACGGCAACGCTACCTGCAAATCAATTTTTAAATATACAAGGGAGGAAGTAGGATATACAGTCATTATACAAGTCATATATATCAGAGGAACAACTTTTTTATTATTGATATTTTGAGAAATATGCATTCTTCATAAAAAGTTTTGCGCTTGTTCGAAAATGGTCAATACCGTTTATATACTTTTCAACATTTCAATACCGTTTTAGAGAAAATTAAAAAAAATAATCAAGTTGCATTTTTAGACACAAAATCGAAACAAAATCTCTGCTGAAAAACATTGCGAAACAGTTTCGAAACTATGATGGTGTTTGTGTGAAGGCACAAAAGTTCTGGAAATAATTCGACACATTTTTGATACATATGTTTCGTAACATAAATCGCTTTTTGTTTCGAAACATTTTACAAAAAATATGGTTTCCCTGCATAAGCTATAACAATAAAGATCTTAGTGTCACAAATTTTTCGAAACTTTTAAGAAACAGATGTGGCTCACATTTACAAAGATTTCGAACCCGTTTTGTGCCTGAAAAGTTTCCATAATTTATTTGATATTCTGTCATATATGATGAGAACATAACCTTACTTTTTTTATTGTTTTGATTTTGTTCTGCAGTTTTTGCATTTGAGCATTCTTCAAGTTTTTATAGTACTGTAATTAAAAAAGCAGAAGGAAGGACAACAAATACAGATATTTTTCTTATGCGATTACTTATTGATATAATAATTTATTATACCCATTACAGAGATTATGTGTATTAGGAATAAATGTAATAACAACCACTACTCATACCCAACAGGAGACCGAAGCAAAATGTTACCAGCAAACGTTTCTTTCTCTTTTTTACACAATGGAATTCAAGTTTTTATGTTTTAATTGTGTTATAATAAGTAAATAAAAATATTTTAATTATTTTGACCAGAAGTTTTGATTGGCGTTGTTGACAGGTATTTTGGAAACAAGGTTCCCATTTATTGTCGATTCACTTTCGAAACACGAGTTTCTCTCTTTTTAGACACAAATATGCTATAATGTAGATGATTTGTGTCCGACTCCATCTCAATTTTCTAAAATAATGAATTAAAATTCCGCCATGTTGGCTAGTGATAGCGTTTTTAACTAAAAATATATATTTTTATCGGCTGTTGAGCTTTTAAACGCATAAAAACGCGTTCTACTTGCATTGATTTATATAATTTTATTTTCAGAACCATGATATACAAATAAAAATCTATATTTGAAACTAAAATATTTTGTAGCAACAAAAAATGTATGTGATATATAGAAAAAACATTAAAAATATGAAAGTACATTATTAAATTAAACCAGTGATTCCCAAAGTGGTCCAGGTGGACCCCCAGGGGTCCACGGGAGACTTGCTGGGGGTCTACGTAGGCGTGAACAAAAAATGGGGGTCCATAAGACGTTAATGGGGGTCCACGAAAATTTATCTGCTATTGATAGTAAAGAGCAAAAATGTAAGCATAGTTTTTATAAGGGCCTACCTACATTGTTTTAAGTACCTATCTAAGCAGATAATATTTTAATAAGGCAAGCGACTGTTACTTGTCCAAACTTGCGTATTCGATATTACGTACAATTTCGTGTACAGACTTGCAAAGCGCTATCCGCCCGACAATGCTTAATGCTTGTTCAGACATGAACTTGATCACCACTATAAATACTTGATGCCAAAGGCAAACGCATTCATTTGTTTCCGGAATTTCGAAAAAAGGCGGAATTTGGAAAAAAAGTTGTGAGAAAATTTATATCTGTGTTTGCTAGTGCCGGAGAAAAGTAAGTAACCTACCTTTTTTTGTTATAGTACTTAAGTATTTTGTTTACGTGTACTAGTCGGTTGATCACAACGGCCTGTATAGATAGGTAACTTAGTAACTTACAGATATTTTAATTGTCCTCTTTCGATTTGAAGACAAACACAGCACGTTTTATTCAATTGTTTTTTCACGAGAGAAACACTGCCTCTCTAAAAAGGCCGAATAAGCAATATTGCAGAGCAATTAATTTTGTAATTTTTCTTGCAAATAACTACTAATTTTATAAAACAGTAATTTCATAATCATTTTAAATTGGTTTTGAAGTAACTATTTTATCAAAACTATTCCTTTTCGGAAAGAGCGAGCGGTGCGCGGGCGACGGGAAAAGGGCGGGGCTTGGACTTCGATGCCAGTTTGTCACGTTTTAACAATGAAGCCGCAGACAAAAAATACGCAAATACACGGAGCGCGTGAACTCATTGATTTAATAAAATGTTAGTTATCGTTTTTATGGACAATTTTGGGATTTCGACTTTTTATTTTTTCCTACACAAATATGATCAGTATTCGATACTGAGTACACCAATTTTTATTTATACTATTAAAAATTAGTGGTAAATTATGTACTTTAAAATTGATACCGTTTTGTGAAAACGTCTGTATTTGTCTCAGCGGTTTATTAGTTGGTCCCTTTACAAGCCGTAATTCTATTTCCGCGTGCTGACAAAGGCTGCGGTGTGATACCTATATTCAGAAAAAACTTGGTTACTAAAACATTTTTTTTTACAGGTAAGGTAACTGACACGAAACATGGCTACAGCAAAGAAAAAATGTCGACAATATAGTATCGATTATTTGAAATATGGTTTTGTTCCATCAGAGGCAGACAAACAATTGCCCATGTGCCTATTATGCAACAAAGTTTTGAGCAATGACTCTATGAAACCATCAAAGCTCGAAGATCATCTAAAAAGGTGTCATACTGATAAAATAGGTAAAGATTTAAAATATTTTCAAACATTGAAAGAAAAATATGGAAAGAGACCCACCATGCACAGTATGTTCGCTTCAACATCTCAAAGTAACGATGATGGCTTGCGGGCATCTTACAATATCTCATTACTTATAGCAAAATCTGGAAAACCGCACACTATCGGAGAACAATTAATTTTACCCGCTGTTGAAGAGGTTTTAAAAACTGTTTTGCACAAATCTCCATTTGACGTACTAAAAAGAATTCCATTAAGTAACAATACTGTACAAAGACGCATTGATGAAATGAGCTCTGATATCGAAAGCTTTTTGTGCAATCATCTGCAAAAAACTCATTTTTCTATACAACTGGACGAGTCAACGTTACCCAGTAATGAAGCATTACTATTGGCATATGTCCGATTTATTGTTGAGGAAGAAATTCACGAAGAATTGCTATTTGCCAGAACTTTGGAGACTGACACTAAAGGCGAATCAATATTTAATGTCCTGAGTAATTTTTTTACGGAAAAATCGATCCCATTTACAAACATTATTTCAGTGGCAACAGACGGAGCTCCTGCAATGGTCGGGCGATATCGTGGGTTTATAAGTCATCTCAAAAGAATTATACCAGGACTTACAGCTATTCATTGCGTAATCCACCGACAACATCTTGTGGCAAAACATTTAAGTGACAGGTTGAACCAATCTCTTCATTTTGTAATAAAAGCTGTCAACAAAATCAGAAGCAATGCATTGAATACGCGTTTATTTGCTCAATTGTGCGACGAAAATGATGAAGACTTCCAACGACTGCTCTTACATACTGAAGTACGCTGGTTGTCGAAAGGTGCATGCTTAACGAGATTTTACTCTGTTTTCGATTCCATATTAGAGTTCTTAGAAAGTAGAGATCCAGATTTAAAAGAAAACTTGATCAAATTCAAAGCAGACATTGCGTATTTGACAGATTTGTTTAAAAAATTTAATGATATTAACTTGCAGTTACAAGGGGACAGCCTGAATTTAATAAAAACAAAGGGGATAATTTCGGCTTTTCTTGGGAAATTGAAATTTATGAAGCAAAACATTAGTCGGCGCGAATTCTCTCAATTTCCAAACTTGTCGCAGGTAGAATGTATTGATGAGGATATCCATACCTACAGTCAACATTTAAGTGCTCTGCATGATGACTTCAAAACCAGGTTTGAAGATATACTGACGATGGATATACCACCATGGATCATAAATCCATTTGATGAAACGGAAGTGGCCAATGTTGTATTACAAGAGGAGCTGCTCGAGCTAAGCACTAATGAGGAGCTGAAGGTGAAATTTAGAAAAGGCTACCCAACATTTTGGCTGCAAGCAGAAATACCCGAAAAATATCCTGGACTGTGGGAAATCGCAAGGAAATTTTTAATAGCTTTTCCCTCGTCATACCTTGTCGAAAGGAGTTTTAGTGCGTTACAAACCTCTTAACAAAAAAAAGGAGCAAATTAAACATCACAGAGCGGGGGGATTTGCGGTTATTGCTCACAAAAATAAAGCCAAACATTGATCGTTTGCTGACACTCCATCAGATACATCCTTCCCATTAATTAAAATTATGACCTGAACCTATATTACCTTAATATTTTTCTTGTAATTCTATTCTTTTAATAAATAAAGTGATATAAAATGTACCATTTTTCGTTTTTATTTTACATATCGGAATATAGGGACAGAACTCAGAAGTGACACAATTTTTATTTTTTGGCGACTTTAAGAATGTGGTAGAAATGTAGCAGCAGGGGGTCCACCGAAACCAGTAAAATTTTGAAAGTGGCCCACGAGAAAAATAAGTTTGGGAACTACTGAATTAAACGATGAATTTGCTTTTGCCAGACATTTTTTGTGCGAGAAAACCTACAAAGATTTTAAGACAAAAAACTTATGGCGGAGGTCGACATTGTTGATGGTTGTTTTCATTTTGAAATGCACACACAGACATAGACTGCTTTAGTTTGGTATTTTGTTTCTTCACATTTAGAAACAGTGGCTGCTGAAAACGGGAACATCTTGGACACAAATTGCAGAAAATGTATCGAAACATTTCCTCTAAAAGTTTTGATTCCGCATTGAAACATTTCAGGAAACGGCTATATATTAATGTAATAAAGCCATATAAAATATATAGGTTTCGAAAATTTTTCCTATTTGTGGCATACCGTTTCCATTTTGTGCCAAGAAACAGACACAATTATTAGAAACATTACCTAAAATGTGTCGAAAAATGCTACTTGGGAAAGCTTACCTTCCAAGGCGTAAACTGCGGGACTGTCACCGAACTTGTACGCCACCGTCGTTACCAATCCGTGCGACGACTGAACCCTCTAAAAATCAAACTTAGCCATTACGCATTCCAAAACGACACCCCGTATATAACACTCACGGTAGTTCCGGTGTTGTAAAGCAGAAAACATCCGCTTCGGTACGTGTTCTTGGCCATGCCCGCCTTGAAACAGCTCTGCCCCAGCAAGGCCGATTGCTGGTTGCCTAAAATCTAAAAGAAACTCGCTGATACCACCACATTAAAACCATTATTCGTCTTTTTGTCTTACTCCGGAGATGGTGGCACCGGCCAACGGCCAGTCGTCGCAAACTTTGCCGTAAATTTCCGAACTGCTTCGGATCTCCGGTAAAATTTCCGCCGGTATTCGGAAGGTGTTCAACAGCTGCGTGTCCCAATATAGAGTCTCGATGTTCATCAGGAATGTTCTCGAAGCGTTCGTCACGTCGGTGACGTGCTTGCCTCCGTCCGGTCCTCCGGTTAAGTTCTTAAATAAAGTTGAAAATCAAAGAATACCAAATGCTGAAATGTGGGTAACGTTTTACAAAAAGGTTTTTTTACTGTAACTATTTCTTTTTCTATACAGGGTGGTCCGAATGGTATTCGGGAAATGTCGGCAGCATATTCTGCAGATAAAATTACGTAAAAAAGTTTGTATAAATGTATGTCCTAAAATGCTTAGTTTCGGAGATACAGGTTGTAGAAGTTTCATTTTTATTTCGATTTTTTCAAAATAATTTCTGAAGTAACGTCACTATTTGGATGAAAATTGGTATCTGGAAGTTTTTTGACATGAGAAATTGATTTTGATGTCAATATGACTCCTATTTGTAAAGGGCGCCATCTACAATTGCTTTAACTATTTTGATGACTAATAACTTTTCTACCTTACCTGTATAAAATTACTGAGTGAAAAAATATACATTTCCGTGATTTTTTACGTAAAAAAATGTCTCTTGGTAAAAATCGTTCCAAGCAACCGTTCTCAAGATATTTAGAATGGAAATAGTCAATACATGTCATTATTGACAAAAAATAAACATGTTGAGTAGTTACTTGACCGAAATAATAAATTTGGGAACTCTTTATTTTTTTAAATTAATCATAAATTTTTCTTTGAAAAAAATTATGATAAAACAGTTTCTGTTGAACTTTTGGCACAAAAACATTTCAAATTTATGATTTCAGTCTAATAACTATTTAATCAACGTGTTTAGTTTATGTCAATGATGACAGGTATTGATAATTTCGATTCCAAATATCTCGAGAACCATTACTCGTAGCGATTTTTACCAAGAGACCTTTTTTACGTAAAAAACGTCGTAAATGTATATTTTTTACATAATATTTATACAGGTGCGGACGAAAAATTATTACGCTTCAAACCAATTAAAAAATATTTGGGTGGCGCCCTCTACAAGTAGTAGTCATATTGACATCAAAATCAAATTTCTCATATCAAAAAACTCTCCAACTCGTCAATTTTCATCCAAATATTGAATTATTTGGAATATATATCAAAATAAAAATGAAACTTCTACACCCTGTATCGCCGCAACTAAGCCCACGGCCACACAGAAAGCGTTTTTAGCGTTTTGCGTTTTTGCGTCTCTAGCGCTTTTTGCGATTTTACCGGTTTAAGCGCTTTTTTCGATTTGTGTCCATTAAAAACACGCAAAAGACGCGGCAGGTCTGCAGTTTCTATCAATATGTCAATTAGTAACGTCGCAAGCTCGTGGATTCCCGGCCCATCCAACAATCAATCCTGTGAGAAAGAGATAGGCGAGATCGGCGCCGTTAGCGTTGAAGAGACGAAGACAAAAGATGCTGGGATTGAATTGTGGACGGGCCGGGGCATATATTCGGAGACAAACACAATCTACTGCTAGTGCCAGTGGTGTGTGTAAAAATAACAATTATTATTTGTCATTTATTTTACGAATTTTAAAAAAAAAATAAATAACTATATAGAATAGTAAATATTTCTAGTTGCTAATGCAATTTTAGGACATGATTTATATAACATTATGGAGTGAAACTTCTTTACGCGCGCTGTGAGTTTAAAGGAAGGAAATTGAAGGCCGTGACATACGAGCTAGTGAGTCGTCCCTGACACACAAGCTCGTTGTAACGAAACGTGTTAACGGCTTAAAAATACGTAGTGACGCGATGTATATTTGTGAGCAGTCCACGTGTTTATAAAAAATATTGATATTTTAATACAAATTTTGTAAAAGTTTATTACGTTACGTTTATTAAGTTTTATTACGTATAAAAAAACATTTGTTACACGTAAAAAACTATTTTTATTATTTTACGCGAATAAAACTGTTACACGTAAAAAACTATTTTTTACGCGTATAAAACTATTTGTTATGGGTAGAAAACTATTTTTTACGCATGTAAAACTATTTGTTACCGGTAGAAAACTATTTTTTACGCGTATAAAACTATTTGTTACGCGTTAAAATCTATTTGTTACACATAAAAAACAATTTTTTTACGCGTCAAAAACTTATTGTTTGTGGTAGAAAACCTTTCTTACGCAAAAAAAATATTTTTTACGTGTAAAAAACTATTTGTTACACGTAAAAAATTATTTTTTACGCGTCAGAAACTTATTGTTTCTGGTAGAAAACCCTTCTTACGCAAAAAAAAAATATATTTTTTACGTGTAAAAAACTATTTGTTACACGTAAAAAACTAATTTTTTACGCGTCAAAAACTTATTGTTTCTAGTAAAAAACTCTTTTACCCAAAAAAATATTTTTTACGTGTAAAAAAACTATTTGTAACACGTAAAAAAGTATTTTTTTACGCGTCAAAAACGTTAGAAAAACCTTTTTTACGCAGAAAAAACATTTTTTACGCATAAAAACTATTTTTTACGCGTAAGAAAATATTCCTTTAATTTATTACTTTTTCAACATTTCAAACTACACTTTTTCAAACATTTCCTTCAAATTTTTGAATTTAATAAAATTTTCCTCAACAGTAGATGTTCTTTATAAAAATATTTTTAGATAATATCCTAAAATGAAAAAAATGCATACTATTTAATTTATTTTTATTGTATTATTAAATATAACGTCGGCCTATGACGGGGTTTCATCTTAGAAAACGCTAAAGACGCTACAGAAAACAAACTGATTTATTTTCATTTGCGTTTTTTGCGTGACATGCCGAACCCTACACGCTTTTGGTGTGGCCATTCCTATATAATCCAGTTACTTTATTTTAGTCGCTAAAGACGCTTCACGCTAAAAACGCAAAAAACGCTTTCTGTGTGGCCGTGGGCTAAGCCATTTTAGGACATACATTTGTAGCAACTTTGTTACTTATTTTTAATTGCAGAATATGCTGCCGAAGTTTCTGGAATACAGTTTGAACCACCCTGTATATTTTATAAACACCTTGTAGTGTTAATAAAGAATACTAAATTACCCACCACCAGAATTAAAAAAATAGACAGGATGTTCCAATGTTTCGTGGACATAGATCTACCACGTATTTTTGGAGTCAAAATAAGTTCATTGAACGCAGTTTACCTCTATCCAAAAGTGCTTAGAATAAGTAAGTGCTAAGAATAAGTACTTTTAGTTATTCAAATAAAATTGTGAGGGTAAAAATTACTATAAGCGCTACAAATTTTAATGCTAAAAAAGTGTCAGCATATTCATCGGGGACGTGCATATGGGTCATAACTGGAATATTTAAAAAAAAACATGTGCGCCACTGATTTTCCCGAAGTTATTCCTGAAGTTTCCCGAATACAATTCGGACCACCCTGTATATTTTTTACTTTAGAAAATAATTAATAAAATATTTTTTTTAATGAGAACTTATGATATCAAAGAAATACCAAATAATATACCAAATAAATCAAAATTCTGTTCTCAGTGTGCAAATAAATTCATATTCCTCAAAATCCTAAACACACCTGTTCAAATAATCATATTTAATATACTAAAATAGCAAAAAAAAATTGGATAAATACTATTTCAGTGTAAATTTAATTCCTTACCCATAGCAGCCATGTATCTACAGTTCCAAAAAGGCACGTCTTGTCTTTTATTGCTTTGCTCACAGCCGGAACAGAACTGATCAACCATTTCAATTTGAACGCGCTGAAATATGGAGAGATCGGAAGACCGCAAACCGGTTTAAAATGGTTTTTATTGTTGTCAGGAACCTTTGCCAGAACTACGTCGACTGTTTCGTCCGTGCGATTGTCGTTCCACACTAAAAAATAATATTTTGTCCATAAAGATATAATAAAAATAAACGTTTTAATAATTTTTAATACCTATGGCATTATAAAGTGGTTTTCCTGTTGTTTTGTCCCAAACGATAGTCGTTTCCCTCTGATTGGTAATTCCAATTGTTATTATATTTTTTGCTAAAAAAAAGCAACATGCACAAAAACATACACATGAAAAAAACGCAACAAAAAAAGTTTAATGTTTTTTGTTAAATTTCAAGCGTTATATTTTTATTATTTATATAGCAAATAATATATTAGGAAATTTTTTTGATCAAATTTAAAATGTTATATTTTTTTATACAGGGTGGTTCGAACTGTATTCCGGAAACTTCGGCAGCATATTCTGCAGATAAAAATAAGTATAAAAGTTTGTATAAATGTATGTCATAAAATGTTTAGTTTCGGAGATACAGGGTGTAGAAGTTAAGTTTTTTGACATGAGAAATTTGATTTTGATGTCAATATGACTCCCACTTGTAGAGAGCGCCACCTACATATTTTTTAACTGTTTTTAAGAATAATAATTTTTCGTTCGTACCTCCATAAAACTACTAAGTAAAAAATATACATTTATAATGTTTTTTACGTAAAAAAGGTCTATTGGTAAAAATCGCTAAGAGTAGTGGTTCTCGAGATATTGGGAACCGAAATTATCAATACCTGTTATCATTGACATAAATTATACATGTTGACTAAATAGTTATTGGACTGAAATCATAAATTTGAAATGTTTTTGTGTCAAAAGTTCAACAGAAACTGTTTTATCATCATTTTTTCAAAAAAAAAATATGATTCATTTAAAACAATAAAAAGTTCCCAATTTAATCTTCAATTCAGTCAAATAACTATCTACTCAACATCAGTGCCGTTTTGTGTCCAAATATTGACGTTACTTCAGAAACTATTTGGAAAAAATCGAATTAAAAATGAAACTTCTACACCCTGTATCTCCAAAACTATGCATTTTAGGACATACATTTATAAGAACTTTTTACTTATTTTTATCTGAAAAATATGCTGCTGAAGTTTCCGGAATATAGTTCGGACCACCCTGTATATTAAAAATAATGTTTTAGAAAATTTTGCTCACGAAATGATTGCACAGGGTGTTTTAAAGTTAAGGTAAAAACAACCCTTCGATTAACCCTGTACAACAAGCCAAATACTAAAATTTCAAAAAAAAACTGATTTATGAATTAAAGTTAATAGATTTATACAGAGTTTGTCAAAAAATCATGAAATATGGGCTAAAAATTAAAAAAATATAACACTTTAAATTTGAGGAAAAATTTTTTGCATTGCGTTTTTTTTTGCAACTGAGTGTAGTATTAAATATCAAAGTTCATCCCTATTGATATTAACTAATCTAAAATGACATATTAATCTATATCATATTGTCTTAAAGTAGGATTAATCTGATTAGATTCTCTTATAGATTAATTCTAGAAAAACATCCACACAATAATACATAACTTAAATAAATAATTAAAACATGTTAATGAACCACAGCTTGACCTTATTGTTGCTTATATAATTCGGTGGTAAATACTAAAGCATATTTTCTGGCCATAAATTACCGAGAATACCTAAAAATAATCTAAAAATAATTAATGATTATTTATTAGCTACACATTTTCTGAGAAGCGTATGAACCAGTTATCATTGAACCTTGGAACACAGAGAAAAACGCACTGTACCTATCTACTTGACATAAAATATTAAAATTCACGATTTAATGTTTACTGTAAACTCGTTTTTTTTTGTATAAATAAATACTTATTTTTTAACACCTATTATTTAGATTTCAAATTTCTATGTTAGTGATATGTTAGTGTACCAGAATCATTGAAAATGAAAGATTTTCTTATACATATTATTACAATTACTTACCCCTTTTTTCTCCCAAATTTGCTATAACTTTCTTGATGCAAGTTTTAACTGCATCGAGAATTTTGAGGGGGTCTTGTTCGGACCAGCCTTCTTGAGGAACAACTGGCTCAACATCTATGGAATACTCCGAAATTTCTTTAATATGCTGACTAATAAATACACCAAATGTTATTGTTCTTGTACCAGCATCTATTACACCAATAAGCTGCTCGTGCCCATTGTCTTGCAAGTCGCTCATTTCGTAATCTATATTATAATTTAAATTAATTTTACATAGGTTTTATGAAAGATATACATTCAAAAGGAATATATAGTCGCTGATAACTAAATTAGTTGACAAAAAAGACCAAAATAGAAGCGGTTGTAACGTTTAGTAACATTAGAGAATGTCTTATATAAAACAGATAAAAATACTTGTTATTAACACCTTCAAATTGATCCTATCAGAAACTGGACTGCTTCACACACCTCCACACTATTTTTCCACTGCCAAACGACTGACTTCGTCATTCAGTCAAGAATTTCTGTTATCTAAATTGTCAACATGCATTGTATTATACTCGATATTGGGACTGTAATTCCAAAAATTCCCAACTAGAAAGTCAATCAAAATCAAACAAATAATTAACGCACGACGAATATTTGACATTAGTCATTACCTTGCTCATTAATTGTCAATACACAAAACACAAATAAATAAAAAAGTTGTCAATAAAAAATAATCTAAATGGTTGAAATTGAAATGGAGATACATATTGTTTACCCATCCTTATTTTACTTGAAAGAATATTGTATTTTGAGTTGCCTAACAATCACCTAATCATATGATTGTCAAAAATTTCTAACCTGAGAAAATCTATTTAAAATTCAAATTTCAAATTATGTTTTTAGATTTAGGAGACATTTTAGATCACAAATATACTATTGTTACCTCTAGTATTCTCTTAGTTATTCCAATATACTCGTGGAAGTCGTTTTTTTCATACTGGAAACAATTAAAAAAGGAACACGATGATTTATTACTGTATCATGGACGACACAATTGTACAATCACTTACAAAGCAAATAAGGGATTTACTGGATGGCCTCAGCATATGAATAATATAAATTTTATAAGAGAAAATAGATTTGAGAACCTTTACGAACCAATCCTTTATTTTATTAGTACTGCCAAGGAATCGTTAGATATTGCCATGATGATCATTAATGTGAATTCTATTAGTTCAGAAATCCTCAAAGCTGTTAAAAGAGGAGTAAAAATACGAATAATAAATAATTTCCTTCACACAAACAGCAATAAAGATGTTATACAAAAATTAATGAAAGAAGGTAAACTATGTATAGGGTTTTTAAAGGAATTTTCCTAAAACAGCTTTTATTATAGGTGTAGAATATCAATTTTACGTCGCATCATCATGCTCCACAGACACAATAATGCATCATAAATTTGCCGTTAAAGATTTCAGTGATACAGGTGGTTTCATGTGCTTGGGATCTATGAATCTTACCAGTAGTTCAGTATTAAATAACTATGAATCTTTTATATTCACATCAAATTATCATTTGACGGAAGCATTCAAAAACCAGTTCGAAGACTGTTGGAATAATATAAAAATTGACAACGAGGGCCTCATCAATAAAACAATTCTTCTGGATTCTCATTTGGATTGTTCACGAAAAACAAGATTTCAATAAAGCTTTTTTATTATATCTTAAACAATAGTTTGTTTTGAACTAACAATCGTAAAGTACATTAAAATATTTTTATTGTTATCACAATAAGCTGGATTTATTCTAATAATGTTATAAAATAATTAAAAAAGGTATATATTTATAAATACTCTGGTAAACAATGAAATTATTATTCTCTTCTTAAATTATCTAATCTTGCCTGTAGATCTGCATCGGCATCAGAGAGACCACCACTAGCACCACCCCCTGCAACTGCTGTAGCTGCAGCTGGTTGTTTACTACTGTTGGCAGGAAGAGCCCCTGCAGTTTGGGGCAATCCAGATAAAGTATCAGTCAATTGTAGACCTAGTTCGTCCAAAACTTGATTAACAACTGCATCACTCTCTTCTTCGTCATCATCTCCTTCCATCGCATCATCAATAGCATCGTTCATTATTTCTTCCTTCATATCCATAATCTCAGACTGTTTCTCAAATTCTTGCAGGATCCTCTGTATTTGCGGTAAATTTAACTGTCTATTCATACTGGCCATAGCCCTGGTAACTCCTTTCATTGCCTGGGCCATTGCATTCTGTGACCTTAAAGTTTGTATTTTCAGTGATACGGCTTGTATGTTTGCCTTCATTAGCATGAATTTTTTAACGTAACGTCTAGTCCTTACTAAATCGCGAGCCATAATTTTGACGGCATCCATTTGACCTTCTTTAGCTAGTTTTTTAATATCGTTTATGATTTTCTTTTCCTGTTGTTCCATTTTCTGTTTTTCCCTGTCCAGATCTCGCATAGCCTTGTTTAAAGCCCTTTGGTTTTTCCGAAGCAATTCTTCGGGTGTTAATTTCTTTCCAAAAAGCCACTCCATTTTAAAGGTAGCAAATTATAATAAAAATCTAATATTCTTCAATTACAGAAAAACAACTTGATTACTGAAATTCCAAGTTGACTGATGACGCATAGATGAGGCATTTGTTTATTAATTTCCAGTGATATTTGACATTTATTGTCCATAGATTCTTTCTAAATTTCAATCATATATAATTTTAATCTAATTTCAAGGATGGGTTTGGAAAAACTCTCATTTAAATATTTTTTTTTACATGTACTGTCAGTTTTTATACTGGCTATGTGGTTTTCGAAGCTGTGGCCTAAAATATGAAAAAGAGGAAGATCTTAACAACAACCACAGTTTTAAACGTCAAAATGTTGTTTATTTGTTCCATTTTACAGTAGAATTTTGATCAACAAACAAGAAAAGATGAAAAAGATTACATTTGGAAAGATAAGTGCTAATTTTAGAGAAAAGTCTGAAAAGGCCGAAGCGTCTCAACCGATCGGTACTTTTGGCCCCCCCAAAGCTATAGAAGTTTTAGAAGATGACAAAGAGAGCCAAGATGTGAAAAATGTCATGGGAATCATTAGTTTCGGTAAAAAGGCTAAAACATTTGACATAGAGGTATTTTTCTTTATTATTTTTGTAACAAAAGTGTATACTAATGTGTGAATGTCTAGGAAATGATGGTCCAGGTGAAAGCAACTGCTCGTGAGGTTACCAAACCTCCAGAAGAGAGTAAACCTGTTGGGGATAGTGATGACGACAGCGACAGTGATGAAGACGATGATTTAATTGGACCACCTATTCCCAAATTTTTTACAAACAATGTTAGAAAAGTGGAAAAAGATGATGACGAAAGTGACAGTCAAACCGAGGACGATAGTGATACAGACAACCAGCATTTTATACCTTTAAAGCATGAAACTAGTATGCAACATGGCACAAAAGCCGTTACAGCGATTACAGTTGATCCAAGTGGTGCAAGATTGGCATCAGGTATAATCCAATTTTTTTAGTTAGTTAGTTAGTTTATTTATTAGTAATAACATACAAGAAAAGTATTTTTACAAGTCAAAAAAATATATATATAGGGTTGTTCACCACATACGACACGGAGTATTGTAGCTAAACGAATAGATTTTTACAAATTGTAAGTCTTGGGTTCGAAGGACTATTAGAGGTACAATTTAAAAATAATTTTACAAGATACAGAGTGTCCCAAATAAGTAAAAAATATCAAAGTTGTATATTTTTAAATGGAACACCCTGTATATTATTGCATTTTTAGTTTCTACGATTAAAATAAAGGTAAATTTGATCAAGGTTTATTATACTTAAACCTTACCGTTTTTGAAATATTTTCAATTTTGTGAAATTGCAGTAAAAATTTTAAGGCTTCATTCCTCCAAGGGTACTAAGGGAATATTGACATTTTAGATTATTTTTAAAGATGTACCAAATTTTTAATGAGTACAGATACTAATATTGTGGATATAATTCGTTTATTTCATTAAAAAATAAAAAAAAAAACTGTTTAAATATTTGTTAAAAAGGACCAATTAATATGATTCCAGTATTCCAACTACATTAACTGACTGCATTGATTAATAATAATTGTCCCAAATACTAAAAAAGACTGAATTTTGTATGGGTATTAGGTATTAGACAGTGTGATAAAAAGTAACACCTTAAAAATGATATTTCATTTTTTAATAAATGCTTATTTATAACAACAGAGACTTTAATTTTGATAACTTATTATTATATTGACTTCTGACTCAAATCCACATTTATTTAGAATAATTTATTAACGAATACAATTAAGTATGTAATTAATTAGTATACGGGCGGAAATAACGGTGCTATATTTAATTAATGGTATACTCTGTTATAAAGATTTAAATAGTTTATTTTTGCATACAACATTATTGTTTTTAGCAAAACGATAATGTTACTAGAATGTCAATATATGATGTCAATATTCCATGGGTGTCAATATATGATGTCAATATTCCATAGGTGTCAATAATAAAATGTCAATATTCCATGGGTATATTGATGAATGAGGTCTAAATTATAAGAAAATGCATTTTCTACGAAAACTTGAAGGGATAGGTAAAAATGGTGTAATACAATTTGATAGACAATTAAATTGTGCATCTGATTCTCCTAAAATATACAGGGCGTTCTAATTAAATTAAACAAGTTATTGGCGTTTAAAGCTATAAATTATTTAAAATAAATTTTTAGACACTCTCTGTATAAGGTAGTATTATTTTATTATTGCAACACAATAACTGATCAATAAATAAACTTCAGTAAATATTTAGTATTAAAAACTTTGATACCCTTGGAGAAATGAAGCCTTAAAATTTTTACTGCAATTTCACAAAATTGAAAATATTTCAAAAACAGTAAGGTTTAAGTGTAATAAACCTTAATCAAATTTATCTTTATTTTAATCGTAGAAACTAAAAATGTAATAATATACAGGGTGTTCCATTTAAAAAAATACTACTTTGATATTTTTTACTTATTTGGGACACTCTGTATCTTGTAAATTATTTTTAAATTGTACCTCTAATAGTCCTTTGTCGAACCCAAAACTTGAAATTTGTAAAAATATAATCGTTTAGCTACAATACTCCGTCTCGTATGTGGTGAACAACCCTGTATATAAAATGATAAAAATTGATAAGAATTTAGTTTCTACAGTTTTTTTTTTTGTTGTTTTTACATTGCATCATTAATACACAAATTTGATAAAATAAAATTTATACAATTAAACAATAGAAAATCATTAAAACCTTAAAATTAAAACAAATATGTATATCAAATATATGTTATAAATGAACAGATACAACACACAAACACTAATATAGAAACAAATGAAATCACAGACTAAAGCCGGAACTGAAGTACTCCTCAAAAGAAAAAAATGCATTAATCATAAGGTAGTTTTTGATTTCTGTTTTGTACTGATTAAAATTAAGAGCCTTAATTCTAGCTGGTACCAGGTTATAAAACTTTATGCTCAAATATCTTGAACCATTCTTGGATCTCTCAAGCCGGCAAAAGTCCGGTACAAGATTGCTATTATTTTTTGTTGGGTAGCTGTGAAAATATTCATGTGACCTGTATAGATCAAGATTTTGCTTGACGAACAACAAACACTGCACACAGGGCAAAGTTAAAATCTTAAATTTTTTAAATAAATTACGACAATCCTCCCTGTAACCCACCCCTGCAATAATACGCACGCACTTCCTCTGCTGCGCCTCCCCAATACAATTATTCTCTAGTTTTGTATTTCTTAACAAATTCTAGGTTCTGTCGATTATGACGTTAGTTTTTGGGATTTCGCCGGAATGGACTCAAATTTAAGAAGCTTCCGCACGTTACAGCCAGCAGACAACCACCCAATCAGAGGTTTGCATTATTCTAGCACTGGCGATTTAGTTCTTGTTATCTCGGGAGCGAGTCAAGCCAAAATTATCGATAGAGATGGATTCGAAAAGTTAGAAACAGTGAAAGGCGATATGTACATAACGGATATGGCCAGAACCAAAGGTCACACAGCTGCCCTCCTTGCCGGAATGTTTAATCCAACAGTGAAGGAGGAATTTTTAACTACAAGTTCGGACGGTACGGTCCGTACATGGGACTTTTACGATGGAGGGAAGAATCACAAACAGATAATAAAGTGTAGGGCTCAAAACGGGTTAAAAGCGTCCCCGACAGCGGTTACTTATAATAGGGAAGGCAAAGTAATAGCCTGTGGATGTGCGGATGGATCAATTCAACTATGGGATTTCAGGTAAATTTATTTTTATTAGCATACATGGTGGCGCCTCTCATACGACGGTAGTTTGTATTGAAATGAAATTTTGGGAGCATAAAAAATTACACATCAAAGTTGTTTTTTATAATGGAACACCCTATATATTAATTGATTTTTGGATTCTAGGAAAAAAATTAAGGCGAGTTTTATTAAAGAAGCATATGCCTAAAATGTAACGATTTTGACATATTTCACATTTTGTGAAAATGAAGAGTAAATGTTTTTTATCTTCAAAATATTATCATAATAATATACTGGGTGTTTCTAACCTAACCTAACCAAACCAAACTTGTTTTTAATGGTGACCAATGTTCAATATTAATCTTGTCTCACCCTGTATAATTTTTTGGAATTTTTAATCTACATATATAAAATGCTAATGTTTATCTGTGTCGTCTCTACTGAAGTAACGACTTGCTCTAGAAAGTTGCTTTTTTACTAAAAGATAGCTTATTGGCTCTTCTAAAAACTGTCGTCGCCGGATTTTTTGTTTTTCATTTAGTTAAAAAAAATAAAAAGTTTTTTTTTTCTGATATTGTGGCGGATGCGTCAGGCTTCAACTAGTTTGATATAAAGAGCAATAGTTATTTTAACTGCATATTAGGCTATAAATGGTAAATTCCAATTTAGGTAGCTATTATTCAAATTTAAAAATTGTTCTTTATTTTTAGAAAATGTTAAATATATCAAAAACTTTACATTTTAGTTATATACTTCTCTAATAAAACTTACCTTTATTTTTCTCCAAGAATCCGAAAATCACTTAATATATAGGGTGTTCCATTACAAAAAAACACAACTTTGATATGTAACTTTTTTTGAGGACACCCTGTAGAACTCTTTACCCTGTAGAACTTATTACAAAATCCTACTCTACAAATCGAAAAAATACCACAATCGTAAATGACACATGCAGTGACGAACAATATTCAAGAGTGGGGGTTGCACAGGGGTCAGTGTTGGGACCTTTACAATACCTTCTATATGTACAGGGTGGGTCAAATTCGACGCTTTTAAATGGAAACACCCTTTTCTATTGGAGATAGACGAAAACTAATATCGGTGTCTGGAGCTCAATTTTTGTCAAAAACGTGATAGTGAAAACCGCATATCGATATCTGTTACCGTTTCGGAGTTACGGGGTGTTTTTCAAAAATATGCATTTTTAATAAATCGCTGTAACTTTTTTGCTATGGAAAATTTTCTATTTTTATGAAAACATTTCCAAAGTACCTTTTTACTTAGAATTTAATGGTTTAAGTATAATTTTTTTAAAATTAATAATTTAAGAATTATCAACAGAAAATTTCATTTTTTATATGGGACACCCTGTATATTTTTAGTTTATTGAAAGAATTTAAAATTACCTTTCCAAAAATATAACACACTTGATACTTTGCTCGATTCCTCTTCGAAATATAGAGTATATAAAATTTTGCCCGCTTTAAATAAGTAGGCTTTGAACGGCACCGGCTATAATGCAAAATATTCAAGCTGTGAGCATCAATTAAAACGAAAATAATATTTGTTATGAGAGATGCAGAATTTTATAACAATTTAAAATATATTTAACCAACATCAACACATTTAAACTATATCTAATAACAATAAAAATAAATAGCAAACCAAGACATGAGATTTTGCTACAGGTGTTCGACTTATTAACCGTCTTCTGTTAGGGACAGACGGGGCAGTTTTTGAACATTTCTCGCGGAATTCATTAACTCAGTAGGGGTGAAAGATACTCTCTCATAACTGCTAAGTATTTCTAATTCTTGTCTAGATTATACGGAATAAGGAACCTTTATTCTTCCGCAAATATATCCATAGGATTAGATCCATGGGCACTAAGTCAGGCGGCCTCGACGGCCAACGGCTGGGATCTTGGTAAGCTATTCAATTATTCTTGAAATTGGCTGCAAAAATTTGCTGATAACTTCAGCGTTCAGAGGCGGTGCATCGTCTTGCTGGAAAAATATGTTTTCGAGTTCCATTAAGGGCATATCAGCAATAAGGGGTCCAAAGCCTACTATAGTTAAAAGTGGCGAACTTTCAAAAATTCTGTATTTCGAAGGGGATTATAACAAAATATCAAGTGTGCTATATTTTTGGAAAGGTAATTTTAAATTCTTTACAGTTAATTAAAAATATAGAGGGTGTCCCAAATAAAAAATCAATTTTTCTGTTGATAACTCTTAAATAATTAATTTTAAAAAAATTATACTTAAACCATTAAATTCTACGTAAAAAGGTGCTTTGGAAATGTTTTCATAGAAATACAAAATTTTCCATAGCAAAAAAGTTACAGCGATTTGTTAAAAATGCACATTTTTGAAAAACACCCCCTAACTCGGAAACGGTAACAGATATTGATGTGCGGTTTTCACCATCATGTTTTTGATGAAAATTGAGCTCCAGACACCGATATTAGTTTTCGTCTATCTCCTATAGAAAAGGGCGTTTCCATTTAAAAGCGTCGAATTTGACCCACCCTGTACATAGTTTGAATTTTGCTGGACTTGAGTATTTCATGTTTGTAGATGACACTGTACTTGTTCGTACTGAAGAGTCATGTGATGCGTTAGAAACTAACTTGAACTGTGATCTAAACAAATATTTTAAATGGCTGTGCTTTAACAAACTGACTGTAAATACTGATAAGACTGTTTATATGATAATAAATCAACGAGGTAAAAACTCATGTAAAGTTAATGTAAAACTAAATAATGTATATATAAAAGAAGTTACTAACTATAAATATCTAGGGCTAATTATTACAAATAATTTAACATGGAACATTCATATAGAAAATGTTATACAAAAAATTGCGCCGATAATTCGGATCAATAAAAGGGTGCGCTCATCAATTAAATACCACAACAAAATATCTACTCTATAACAGTATAAATAATAGAGCCTCGCCTAAGATATTTAATACCATGCTGGGGAACTGCAAGTCAATACATGATGGAACGGCTACAACGAGCACAAAACAAAGCGATAAAGACTATTTTTTCAATTAATTATGGAACTCCTACTAAGACTAAGCAGTTATATAAACAAGTGCCACTTTTAAATCTTAAACAAATAAAACAATATGAACAATCTAAATTAATTTATTACATAAAAAATAAACTTATTAAAACAAATGTTGCATTAAATAAAAGCAGTGACTATCACATACAGAAATAGGTATAGTGCTACAAAAACATGTCAAGACTCTCCAGTATACTCCAGTGTCCAAACATTTAATGATCTTCCAACTACAATCCAAAATGAAGAACGCCCAAAACTAAGTAAACAATTAAAAGACTTTTACAAAACCAAACAGTAATGAAACATTGTTATAAATTGAACTTATAGATATAAAATTGTTATAATGTGACTTCCTATTTTTGAAATTGCTATTGTATAATCTCACTTGTTAAAGTTTTAGATATATTTATAAAAATTGTATTTAGGCCTCGGTGCCAGTTATTGTACTGTTTTGAGGTCATTAATAAATAAATTAGAAAAAAAAACAGTTTAAAAAGTACTCTAGATCAACCTACATATGCTTACAAAATTTCAATACAAACTGGTTCTCCTATGTATATATTATTTGTTATTTATATTTTTGTTTTTTGTTATTTACAGAAAAAGTTCTGTAGCGCCGGCAAGTCAAGTGAGAAAAGCTCACCAACCTGTCGAAATAACGTGCATTTCATACTCACACGTCGGTGATAATCTTCTAACAAGGAGTTTAGACGAAACTTTAAAGTTATGGGACGTAAGAAATTTAAAAAAATCGGTTCACGAAGTGGGAGACTTATTTGCCAGATACGACACAACCGACGCTATTTTTAGTCCCAACGATAAATTGGCCGTTACAGCAATGTCCCTTAAGAAAGGTTGTTATTATTGAGGTTTTTTAAGTATATTTTTAAAGTATTTATTCATTTTTTTAGGAGAAAAAATGGGTTACATCAACTTTTACGATGTGAACAATTTCAAACTGGTGAAAAAACTTCCTGTGACCGAATCGCATACAATAAAAATTAACTGGCATACCAGATTGAATCAGATTTTTGTAGGAACTGGCAACGGTCAAATAAAGTGTTTCTACGATAGAAATAGGAGTATGAGAGGCGTTACCCTATGTGTAGTGAAGGTTGTTTTATATATACTTGGTAATTAATGGACGGTAATAATTATTTTTTTTATACAGACACATAGGAAGGCTCAACATTCCGAAGTGATGAGTAGTCAGCAAGTGATAACGCCCCACGCATTACCATTGTTTAGGCAAGAACGTAGGAAAACAAGCAGGAAACAAATGGAGAAAGATAGGCTAGATCCGGTGAAATCTAAGAGACCTGACTTGCCTATAACGTCTGGACAAGGTTACATTTTTTGCAGTTTTATTTTAGTTTACATTTTTTTATTTTATTTTATTTTATTTTTTTTCATTTTTTGTTTTTTTACTGAGCTTTAATTTTTTTTTTTAGGTGGTAGAGTAGCCTCTAGCGGAGGTACACTGAGCAGCTACGTAATAAGGAATTTAGGGTTAAGTAAGCGAGTGGATGATGACCAGGATCCCAGAGAGGCCATTCTTAAATATGCAAAAGAGGCCGAAGAAAATCCATATTGGATCACGCCAGCCTATTCGAAAACGCAGCCGAAAATGGTGTTGGACTCGAATTCTCCAGAAGAAGATGAAGGCGAACCAGAGTCGAAAAAGAGTAAACAAGAATAATATATATAATACTATATGTATCATTTATTTTATTGTATAAATTATATCTGTCCTTGTCAAAATTATGTTATACGTTCCTTATTCAGAAATAAATTTATTAAAAATAATTAGTGTTTTTTTTTAAATTATTAAAACTGTTTATCAAAGTAGATATAATTACCTCCTGGTAGAACTCGAACATTTTCCGATTTTGAACAAAGGTCTTGGATTTGTATCAGGATCACATAAGAGCGAGGAGGTATTTTTCGTTGATGAATTTTAGCATGAGCATCTATACCTCCTCGCACTTACGTACTCCTGGTAGCAGGTCTCTCTGATTTATCTGAGAAATAAAATATTTTTCTCAGTTCGCCAAAGTCGAAGAAATCTTGGATTTATCAGGATCACATAAGAGCGAGGAGGTGTTTTCGTTGATGAATTTTAGCAGGAGCATCTATATCTCCTCGCACCTATGTACTCTTGGTAGCAGGTCTCTGATTTGTACAAAATAAAATACTTTTCTGCCAGTTTCGCCAAAAGTCGAAGAAATCTTGGATTTGTATCAGGATCACATAGAGCGAGGAGGTATTTTTCATTGATGAATTTTAGCAGGAGCATCTATACCTCCTCACTTATGTACTCCTGGTAGCAGGTCTCACAGTTTGTCTGAAATAAAATATTTTTCTGCCAGCTTCGCCAAAAGTCGAAGAAATGTTGGATTTGTATCAGGATCACATAAGAGCGAGGAGGTATTTTTCGTTGATGAATTTTAGCAGGAGCATCTGTACCTCCTCGCACTTATGTACTCCTGGTAGCAGGTCTGATTTGTACTAAATAAAATAATTTTCTGCCAGTTTCGCCAAAAGTCGAATAAATCTTGGATTTGTATCAGGATCACATAAGAGCGAGGAGGTGTTTTTCGTTGATGAATTTTAGCAGGAGCATCTATAACTCCTCGCACTTATGTACTCCTGGTAGCAGGTCTCTGTTTTGTACGAAATAAAATATTTTCTGCCCGTTTCGCCAAAGTCGAAGAAATCTTGGATTTGTATCAGGATCACATAAGAGCGAGGAGGTGTTTTCGTTGATGAATTTAGCAGGAGCATCTATACCTCCCTCGCACTTATGTACTCCTGGTAGCAGGTCTCTGATTTGTACGAAATAAAATATTTTTTTCTGCCCGTTTCGCCAAAAGTCGAAGAAATCTTGGAATTGTATCGGGATCACATAAGAGCGAGGAGGTGTTTTCGTTGATGAATTTTAGCAGGAGCATCTATACCTCCTCACTTATGTACTCCTGGTAACAGGTCTCTGACTTGTACAGAAATAAAAAGTTTTCTGGCCGTTTCGCCAAAAGTCGAAGAAATCTTGGAATTGTATCAGGATCACATAAGAGCGAGGAGGTGTTTTTCGTTGATGAATTTTAGCAGGAGCATCTATACCTCCCTGAACTTACGATACTCCCTGGTAGCAGGTCTCTAATTTGTACGAAATAAAAATATTTTCTGCCAGTTTCGCCAAAGGTCGAAGAAATGTTGGATTTGTATCAGGATCACATAAGAGCGAGGAGGTGTTTTCGTTGATGAATTTTAGCAGGAGCATCTATCTCTCCTCGCACTTATGTACTCCTGGTAGCAGGTCTCTGATTTGTACGAAATAAAAAATATTTTTCTGCCAGTTTCGCCAAAAGTCGAAGAAATTTTGGATTTTTATCAGGATCACATAAGAGGGAGGAGGTATTTTCGTTGATAGAATTTTACTTAGGAGCACATCTGCCTCCTCACTTAGCACTCACAATAACAGGTCTCTGATTTGTACGAAATAAAATATTTTCTGCCAGTTTCGCCAAAGTCGAAGAAATCTTGAATTTGTATCAGGATCACATAAGAGCGAGGAGGTGTTTTTCGTTGATGAATTTTAGCAGGAGGATCTATACCTCCTCGCACTTACGTACTCCTGGTAACGTCTCTGATTTGTACGAAATAAAATATTTTTCTGCCAGTTTCGCCAAAAGTCGAAGAAATGTTGGATTTGTATCAGGATCACATAAGAGCGAGGAGGTATTTTTCGTTGATGAATTTTAGCATGAGCATCTATACCTCCTCGCACTTACGTACTCCTGGTAGCAGGTCTCTGATTTGTACGAAATAAAATATTTTTCTGCCAGTTTCGCCAAAAGTCGAAGAAATGTTGGATTTGTATCAGGATCACATAAGAGCGAGGAGGTATTTTTCGTTGATGAATTTTAGCATGAGCATCTATACCTCCTCGCACTTACGTACTCCTGGTAGCAGGTCTCTGATTTGTACGAAATAAATATTTTTTCTGCGGATTTCGCCAAAAGTCGAAGAAATGTTGGATTTGTATCAGGATCACATAAGAGCGAGGTGTTTTTCGTTGATGAATTTAGCAGGAGCATCTATACCTCCTCGCACCTATGTACTCCTGGTAGCAGGTCTCCGATTTGGCACAGGAAATAAAATATTTTCAGTTTCGCCAAAGTCGAAGAAATCTTGGAGTTGTATCAGGATCACATAAGAGCGAGGAGGTATTTTTCGTTGATGAATTTAGCGGGAGCATCTATACCTCCTCGCACTTATGTACTCCTGGTAACAGGTCTCTGATTTGTACGAAATAAAATATTTTTCTGCCAGCTTCGCCAAAAGAGATAGAAGAAATGTTGGATTTGTATCAGGATCACATAAGAGCGAGGAGGTATTTTTCGTTGATGAATTTTTGCAGGAGCATCTATACCTACTCGAACTTATGTGCACTCTAAGTAACAGGTCCTGATTTATTACTAAATAAAATAATTTTCTGCCAGTTTCATAAAGTCGAATAAATCTTGGAATTGTATCAGGATCACATAGAGCGAGGAGGTGTTTTCGTTGATGAATTTTGGCAGGAGCATCTATACCTCCTCGCACTTATGTACTCCTGGTAACAGGTCTCTGATTTGTACAGGCAAAATATTTTTCTGCCCGTTTCGCCAAAAGTCGAAGAAATCTTGGATTTGTATCAGGATCACAAAAGAGCGAGGAGGTGTTTTCGTTGATGAATTTTAGCAGGAGCATCAGTACCTCCTCGCACTTATGTACTCATGGTAGCAAGTCTCTGATTTGTACGAAATAAAATATTTTTCTGCCCGATTCGCCAAAAGTCGAAGAAATCTTGGAATTGTATCAGGATCACATAAGAGCGAGGAGGTGTTTTTCGTTGATGAATTTTAGCAGGAGCATCTATACCTCCTCGCTCCTATGTACTCCTGAAGTTACGTACGTTAAGAGCGAGGATACTAAGCTGATTATAGCAGGAGCATCTATACCTCCTCGCACGTATGTACTCCTGGTAGTAGGTCTCTGATTTGGTACGAAATAAAAATATTTTTCGCCAGTTTCGCCAAAAGTCGAAGAAATCTTAAATTTGTATCAGGATCACAAAAGAGCGAAGAGTTGCCGATGACCTTGGCGGAGCATCTATACCGCACAGGGCCTTCTGCAGCAGGTTCTTCTGATTTGGTACGAAATAGGCGCCACAAAGTCGAAGAAATCTGATTTACCAGAATCACATACAGCGAAGAGCTTGCCGATGGTTTAGCAGGAGCATCTTTTCCTCCTCGCACTTATGTGCTCCCGGCAGGTGCGGTACCTAGGTCATTCTTTCAGCCAGTTTCGTTGTCGAAGCTACTTATCAGGATCACATGAGGATGTTGCCGATTTACCCTCCGCAGGCCTCCCGGTGTTGTCCATTTGTACGAAATGCCTCGCCAGCCTTCGTTGTCTGATTTGCACAGATCACAAGCGCTGCTATAGTGCTGTTGATATCAGGTGAGCCATCCATACCTCCCCATACCTCGGGCAGCAGCTGATCGTACCCAGTCGTACTTTCAAGTCGAAATATCCGGATCAGTTTTTGCCGATGATGGCAGGGTTATTCATACCTCCGCACTTATGTACTTCGGTCTTCGATTTGCACGAAACAGCCTGCCAAAGTCGAAGAAATCTTGATTTGTATCAGGATCACATAAAAGTGAGGAGGTATTTTTCTGCTGATGAATCTATCTGAAAATACCTCCTCGCTCTTATGTGATCCCGATACAAATCCAAGATTTCTCGACTTTTGGCGAAACTGGCAGAAAAATATTTTATTTCGTACAAATCAGACCTGCTACCAGGAGTACATAAGTGCGAGGAGGTATAGATTCTCCTGTTAAATTCATCAACGAAAAATACCTCCTCGCTCTTATGTGATCCTTATACAAATCCAAGATTTCTTCGACTTTGGCGAAACTGGCAGAAAAATATTTATTTCCTGCAGAATTAGAGAGACCTGTTATCAGGGAGTACATAAGCAAGGAGAGGCAGGGGATGCTCCTGCTACCCATCAACGGTGTACCTCCTCGCTCTTATGTGATTCTGATACAAATCCAAGATTTCTTCGACTTTTGGCGAAACTGGTAGAAAAATATTCTATTTCCTCGTACAAATCAGAGACCTGCTACCAGGAGTACATAAGTGCGAGGAGGTATAGATGCTCCTGCTAAATTCATCAACGAAAAATACCTGCTCGCTCTTATGTGATCCTGATACAAATCCAAGATTTCTTCGACTTTTGGCGAATCTGGCAGAAAAATTTTTTATTTCGTACAAATCAGAGACCTGCTACCAGGAGTACATAAGTGCGAGGAGGTATAGATGCTCCTGCTAAATTCATCAACGAAAAATACCTGCTAGCTCTTATGTGATCCTGATACAAATCCAAGATTTCTTCGACTTTTTAGCGAAACTGGCAGAAAAATATTTTATTTCGTACAAATAAGAGACCTGCTACCAGGAGTACATAAGTGCGAGGAGGTATAGATGCTCTTGCTAAATTCATCAACGAAAAATACCTCCTCGCTCTTATGTGATCCTGATACAAATTCAAGATTTCTTCGACTTTTGGCGAAACTGGCAGAAGAATATTTTATTTCGTACAAATCAGACACCTGCTACCAGGAGTACATAAGTGCGAGGAGGTATAGATGCTCCTGCTAAATTCATCAACGAAAAATACCTCTTCGCTCTTATGTGATTCTGATACAAATCCAAGATTTCTTCGACTTTTGGCGAAACTGGCAGAAAAATATTCTATTTCGTACAAATCAGAGACCTGCTACCAGGAGTACATAAGTGCGAGGAGGTATAGATGCTCCTGCTAAATTCATCAACGAAAAATACCTGCTCGCTCTTATGTGATCCTGATACAAATTTAAGATTTCTTCGACTTTTGGCGAAACTGGCAGAAAAATATTTTATTTCGTACAAATCAGAGACCTGCTACCAGGAGTACATAAGTGCGAGGAGGTATAGATGCTCCTGCTAAAATTCATCAACGAAAATTACCTCCTCGCTCTTATGTGATCCTGATACAAATCCAAGACTATATACCTTTGTTCAAAATCGGAAAATGTTCGAGTTCTACCAGGAGGTAATTATATCTACTTTGATAAACAGTTTCAATAATTTAAAAAAAACACCAATTATTTTTAATAAATTTATTTCTGAATAAAGAACGTATAAAATAATTTTGACAAGAACATATATAATTCATACAATAAAATAAATGCACAATATAATAAATGATACATATTATATTCTGCTTAAATATTACATTACATTTATAAAATACCGTATGATCGAAAAGAAACGTCGTCCAGTTGGCTGGGAAATGGCGATCGATATTTCCCATATAAATCTACATATAAAATGACAGCGATCTTCATTTCATAGCCATCGCTGACGCCGTTTTTTCTTCGATCATACGATACTTATCTATAACCAGTTGAATTAGCGTACTTCTACCTTAATAATTCAGGCAATTTCTAAGTATTAAGTTTCCTTTAATAGGCGCATTCGCCATTTCGTCAAGAAAAAAAACTTGATTCGTAAATTAATTCTAAGATCTTCCACTTAAAATTATTTTTCAGTACTCTGGCTACATAGCTACAATATAAATGTGATAAAAGTAATATTAAACAAATTAGGAATAAACTTAAGACTTACTATACATATATTATATATGACATAACAATATCTACTCTGGATACTTCTTGCTTGTGTCCTTCTGATTTAATGGATATATTTCTTAACTGCAGTGGTACCTAAAAATAATTTATACAAAGTAAATTAATTATCATCAAATTAAAAGATAGTATAATCAGTAAATGTAAAAAAAAATCTTACCATATTGCTATACCAGAGAAACCTCCACATCGGACAGCGCACTACAGTAACCTTCGAAAAAATAAGCCGAACTTTTCGGAGTTCTTGTCCTTCGGAGGCTCTTGAAATCCACGTGGTACAGGCCAAATTTAACACTGAAAAATAAAAGAAAAAAAATATATAAAAGAAATCAATTCAATCACAATAAAATGCTATATGCCTGAGGTCGCAATAAAATGCTATATATCTTTGTTCAAAATCGGATAATTTTAAAGTTCTATCAGGAGGAAATTATAGTTACTCTTGTAAACAGTTATAATTTAAAGAAAAACAATTATTTTTAATAAATTTATTTCTGCATAAGGAACATATAAAATAATTTTGAAGGGGGACAGATATAATTTCATACAATTAAATAAATGCACAATATAATAATTGATACATATTATTTCAATTTATATTGTGCTTAAATAATACATTACATTTTTATAAAATACCGTATGATCGAAAAACCGGCGTCCAGTTGGCTGGGAAATGACGATCGATGATATTTCCGATATAAATTTACATATAAATTAAAACGATCTTCATTTCATAACCATCGCTGACGCCGTTTTTTTTTTGACCATACGGTATTTATCTATAACCAGTTGAATTATCGTACTTCTACCTTAATAATTCAGGCAATTGTAAAATTTCCTTGAATAGGCGCATTCGCCATTTCGTCAAGAAAAAAAAGTACTCTGGAACATTAGGGACAATAATTTATTTTATAATACTTTACTTTCCCTCTCTTAATACCGTATAAGACTGAAAAACTCACGTGTATCCAGCAGTCCACTCCATGTTATCCATGATACTCCACACGGTATACCTTTGCACGTTGCATCCGTCCTGCTCCACGGCCAGGAACAGAGCGTGCAGGTACTCCTGCAGAAACGTCACACGGTGCTGATCTTCAAGACTTCCTCCGGAATCCCCCACGCCGTTTTCCGTCACGTAAACCAACGGGTTCCCGTACTCTTCCTTGATCCAGTTCAGCAACTTCCTAAAGCCTTCGGGTGCCAACGTGGGATCGCGCAATTTCGGATCCCTGACCAATCCGGTGCCTTTGTCCGCGGCGAAGGACACCTCGGAGACGGGAAAATGTTTGGAATAGGCCATCCAGGTGTTGTAGTGGTTCAGGCCGAGGAAATCGGCGGATCTTTTGAGGGAATCTAACTCCGAGGGGGTAAAATCCGGTAGTCTGGACGTCGAGTAGTTTTGGCTTCGGCTGCGGGCGGCTATGGTGGATTTCATGACGTCCGGATAGTCTCCAGTGGCGGAGAATATGGGATGGGCGAACCAGCCGAACTGAAAGTTCCGAAAGTATTATACCGAGACGCACCCGGTATAACTTTTTTATTTCTTCAGATAAAAAAACGAGATTTGGTATGTTAGTATGTGACATAAATCAGGATTGATTGACGTATTAAAGTGTTTTTGATCACGTTATATCAAAAGTTGTAGTCATTTCCGGTGAAACAGGAAGTGATTAAAAACAACTGAATACGTCAATCAATCCTAATTTATGTCATATACTAACATACCAAATTAAGTTTTTTTAACTGAAAAAATAAACAAGACCCACTTTTGAGACGCATACCCGGTATATATATAAAAAAAATGGCGTCGAGTTGGAAAATCAAAGCCAACTCCGACGCCGTTTCTTTTTCGTTAAACTTACCGACATTTGCATCTCCCTATTCGCAGCATCCCGATCATCTGGCGTTTTGGCATCAGCCCATATGGAATCAATGGTAATGCCCACTTTACCTAAACAACAAACAATATAAAATAGCTGTATACAGAGTATTTTAAAAGAAATCATAAATTTTTAAAAAGAAATCATAAAAAAAGCATCACTCTGTTGGTGTATTGCATATACAGGATGTAAAAAAACTGTGTACCACCAAACTAACTCAGTGAGTGATAAAGCAGATAAATATAAAAGACACAGATCCAGTAAAATATGTGTAAGAGTACGAAATTTCAAAGAAAATAGTTTATCAATGTTCTTAAAAATAAACGAAACATATTATGTTTATATACCTTTACTTAGGACATATTATGTAAATAAAAACTTTTTGTTTTATTTTTATCTGCTAAAGTTTGGTACACTATTTTTTAGACCGATTTAAAAAATTTACAAGACTGACTCACCTCTCTGAGACTGCTTAAACTCGTCTTTGTATATTTTGTAGGCTTTGGCGTGCGCTATTAACACGTTTTTCCCACAAATGTAGCTGCCCACGCCTCTGGATACGATTCCCGGAGCTCCGTCTCCATTCTCGTAGGTATCCACGCAGATGCTGGCAGGCTCGTTTATGGTAAGCCAGGTTTTTACCTTTTATTAACAGATAAAAGTATTAACAGAAAAAGAGTCACGTATTTTAAATTGTGGTGATTCTTGATGGTGATGGTGAACTTGATGGTGATTCTAAAAAAAAGAGTGGTAACATTTTTCAAAAAAAACTTTTGAAAGGATATTAACAGATAAAAAAAAAAGTTTGAATCTCAAAAAAATGCACTTTAATGCATATGTTGGAGGCAGGTGCCGAAAATTAGACATATGGCGATTATAATTAAATATATCACATATACACCAGATTTTTTACTAGGAAGTTTGATTTACATTGGTTTCAACTTCTATGCGGAGGGTGTGAAATCTTTTATTTATATTATGCAAAAAGACTAATATACGTAAGGATTTAGTATGGACACGATGTATACTTCATCTAATTGGCTGGACGTTGGCCAAAAATTCAGCATTTATACTTACAGCCTAAGACGATGTATCAATTATTTTGAGGGTTCCACCCAAAGAACAAAGAGCAGGACCCTGTACAGCTTTTTTTAAAAATGAGATTTTGGGATTATAAAGTTGTATGTGCATGTGTCTATCTATACCTGGTATAACAAAGTCGTATGTTGAAATGTTCAGGGTTAGACAACCAGCAATACATAAGTGTATGTATTTAAACATATAAAATAATAGCACAAAGTTGTATGTGCCACATACAATTTTGTTACACTGAAAATTTCTGGGATAAGTACCTACATGAGTTACATAGTTGTATGTGTGTTTTCAACTTTTTCAATAGTTAGGTTATGTTATAGTTTCATTTGCCGAAGCATACGTGATTGAAGGGTCAATTAGTAGTAGTTTAAAGATGGATAGTTTCTCAGATAGTGAGGATGATCTCAAAACAATTCAAATTGAAAAGAAACGTCGTCGACTTTAACAAGACACGTGAGTTTTTTTCAAATCTATAGAATCAGGGTATTATAAGATAATATTATTTTAGAATGGGAGAGAGCTCACAAAATGCTAGATTATTTGACTGCAGTGATGATTCTGATGTAGACAAGGAATATCTTCCAGATTCATCGCCAGACACTAGCAGGTTTGGTATTTTGAATATCATCATCAATCTTTATTTTTTTATTTAATTTATGTGTTTGTAGCTCAAACCAAGAAATTATGGAAGGAAGGGGCCATATTGTCACAGCAGAAGATGGTGAAGGTGAAACCAAGGGGAAGAAAAATGTTCGAAAAAGGACAAGGAATCCAAAGTCTTGGGCGTGCAATGTGAGGAAAAAAGCTCATGATGAAGGAAAAGAGTACATGTCTGTACGAAAAAAACTAGGTCCTGCAAAAAGCGTGCTGACCAAAAAGAACTGTTTAACTAGTTGCGTTCACGGATGCCAAAAATTTATTTCCGATCAAGAGAGAAACATCATATTTCAAAACTATTATACCCTTGATGAACACGCAAAGAAATTATTTTTGCTCACCATTTCCCAAAAATTTTTGGTAGAGAGGCATAGAAAAGGAAAAAATGCACAAAACAGTCGCCGGAAACATACTTTTCGCTATTATTTTAACGTCTCGGATCAAAGGATTGAGGTGTGCAAGCTATTTTATCTGGGGACGTTATGTATTAGTCAGACTCCAATATATAATGTACATTTAGGAAAGGACATCGTGTCGAACACACCTAAAGAGAGCAGGCAAGGAAGACATGTGAAACACAGTATCAATGATGATGACAAAACATTTCTTAAAAGGCACATCGAAAGTTTCCCCAAAGTGGAGTCTCGCTACTACCGGGCAAATAGTAGTAGAGAGTACCTAGAATCAAACCTTAGCATTGCAAAAATGTATTCGCTCTATGTGGATCTCTGCAAGTCAGAAAATAAGCAACCTGTTAAGGACTCATTTTATAGGCATGTTTTTAGCAACGAATATAACCTTTTTTTCCATACATCAAAGAAGGACAGATGTGACTTGTGTGAGGAAGTAAAGCTACAAATAATAGAGAACAGACTATCCACTGAGAAAAATGAAGAATATTCAAGACATTCCATAGAAAAGGGAGCATGCAGAAATGAAAAAAATACTGACAAGGAAGATGAAAACACTGTTATTTTATGTTTTGACTTACAAAATGTTCTGTCATGTCCTCGAGCAGAAATCAGTAGTTTTTACTATAGAAGTAAGTTTAATGTATATAATCTAACAGCTATCCTGTCAAGTACAAAGAAAGTATACTGTGCTGTTTGGCACGAAATGTTTATGGGACGAAGTGGCAATGACATTGCCAGTGCTGTGGTAACAATCTTGGAAAGGGTATTTGATGACAATCCAAATCTCACCAACTTGTATTGTGGAGTGATAGTTGTGTTCCACAAAACAGAAACTCTTTGATGTCCTACGCAGTATCATATTTTTTACAAGAGCACCCTAACTTAGGCACCATTACCATGAAGTTTTCAACACCTGGGCATTCTGGTGTCCAGGAGATAGATAGTGTCCATAGTGCCATTGAACGAGTCCTTAAAAAAAGTGAGTACTTTTCTCCAGTGTCATTGATACGACTTCTCTTGAAAGTCAACCTCAGAAAACCATACTGTATAATTCAGATGAAGGCTCGCCATTTTAAAGACTTTAAGGCATGTACAGGGTTACTTGATTATAAGAAAGTTGCCCGTATCTTCCAAAGGCTTAAATGCTTGAAATGTACTCAATCCTTTATTGAATTGGAAATACAAAAACTTCCTACATAGAAAAAACTGGACCAAAACTCAACTAAAGTTTCTTTCTACAGGACA